GCCAGGTCAGTTCCCGACAGTCAGGGGCTGCTTTTCTCTCTCACCCCCTGTTGTGTGGGCATTGTGCTAGAAATAAAGCAGATCCTGCTGCCAGCACTTCTAGTCTAAGGGAGATGTGGAGAGAGTAAGTAAAATGAGATGAAGAGGAGAGTTGAGTGTGATGTGAGCAGTCTACGACTAGATGTATACACAGGTGTGGAGGAGCCCAGGGCCTGGCCCAGCTTGGGGTAAGCAGCCAGTCAGTGAAGGCTTCTAGAAGATCTGTTAGAGCCATGTTCTTAAGGATTGGTAGGAGCTGTCCAGACGTACATACGTGGAGAATGGACTTTCTAAGCAGAGGGGGCATTAAGTGTGAAGGTCTGGAAAGAACAAAGTGTGGGGCAGTGAAGGAGCTGCAAGTAGATCAGTCTGGCTGGAGCCGGAAGTTAGATGTGACTGTGTAAATGGTGGGAGGGATGGGGCTGGGGAGGGGAGAAAGAGATGAGGCCGGAATGGTAAGGTGGGGCCAGATTGTGAAGGATCTGCATGCCCTCATTATAATCAAGAAGTTTTCACTCTGCTCTGTGGAGAGCGAAGCTTTCCATAGGAATTGCGTATTTGCATCTTTACAATGGCTTTAAAAGCCTTAGAAGGTGTAAGTTCCTTGAATAACTTGTAAGTAGGAAAGCTGTCATCTGTCCTCCCAACCTTGGTTTTAAGAAAAATGTATTGTAGGTTCAGTCTTGCTTCAGTGTGGCAAATGGATTGCAGGGGCAGGACTGGAGAGAGGAGGCACAAGTTGCTGGCCTGTCACGTTGATCTGGGCGAGAGATGGCATAGTGGACGTTTTCAGGATTGCTGCCTAGATCACAACTGTTTACTCTTTTCTGGAAACAGTGCCAATACCGTGTGACCTCGTAACCCCTTCCCAACTTTGTGTCTCTTGTTGATTGGTTCTGGGGGTGCATCAGATCCAGCCTGGGCCGGCATAGCCCTTTTCTGGGACTTCTGGATCTGGGAACAAAGAATAGCCTGCTTTCTCTGGTGTTAGAGACTATCTGATTTAGGCCAGGTGCGGTGGCTCACACCTATAATCCCAACACTTTGGGAGGCAGAGGCAGGCGGATCTCTTGAGCCCAGGAGTTTGAGACCAGCCTGGGCAACATGGTGAAACCTCATTTCTAAAAAAAAAATACAAAAATTAGCTGGACATGGTGGTGTGCGCCTGTAGTCCCAACTAAGGAGGCTGAGGTGGGAGGATCGCTTGAGCCCCAGAGGTCAAGGCTGCAGTAAGCCATGATCGTGCTATTGCACTCCAGTCTGAGTGACAGAGTGAGACCCTGTCTCAAAAAATAGATAAACAATCTAATTTGAGGCTGGATGGTTGTGGAAAGCCATATTTCCCTTTGTGTAGAAGTAGTTGGTCTAGAATGAAAGTAGATTAAGCCAGTAGAGAAAGAGAATCCTCCTGGCATTTGAGGTCCAGTGGCACCCACTCTTCCCGTAGTGTGGTTATGGGAAATAAACCAGTATTCTTCAAATACATTTTTCTGTTTTGCTTAAGCTAGTTTAAATTAGTTTCTTGCAACCTTAGGGGTCTTGATTAGTATAGATGGTGTAGACCTAAACTAAGGCACTGAGTGTGGGGTTGGGTGATCTCACACTTTAGGGGGTAAACTAGATGAAAAATGGTAGCTGTGTGACTCAGAGGGCCATGGATGCCTTGGTAGAGTAAAGATGAGAATGGTGTTCTACATGGAAGGAGCACATAGAGCATAGGCAGGCGTGTGGAGCAGCACTGGGGAGGTGTGGTGAATTTGAGTTCTTCTGCTTGGCTGGGCTGTGGGGTGAGCTGGGACTGATATAGAGGGAGAGCCAGATCCTGCAAGCCCTGCTGAGGCCTTAGGCTTGATCCTAGAAGGAGTAGGAACAAATGAAGGTGGGTGTTGGTGATGACTGCTAATAAAAACCCTCACTGCTTTCTAATGATAGAAGCATCACATTCCAGAACATGTAGGAAATAAAGGTTTTAAGGAAAATAAAAATTACACTGATGCCCATCACCATTTATTCTTTTTTTATTTCCAGTATTTAAACATGTATGTATTTAAAATAGCTGAGATGCTGTATATATAGCTCTTAATCTTTTATCCCACTTCTGCTATCATGAGTATTTTTCTGTAACACATTTTTTGAGACATTTTGATGACTGTATATTATCCTACTTTGTGCATTTTTATAATTTTATAGTTTATATAATATCCATTTCTAAGATTTTTGTTCTTAAGGATAAAATTGTTTTACTTAAAATCTTAAAATATTGTTCATGTTTCTCATGTTTTTAGAATAATTCCTAGAAGTGAAACTATGGGATCAAATAACATCATGTTTTAAAATAAAAGTTTTTCAACCCAAGAGTATGAATTCAAGTTGCTCTGAATAGATACTCCCTGAAAGTAAGGTATTCTGATTTGTGGTTTACATATAATAACATTCCCCCTTTTTAATGGACAGATTTGAATTTTGACAAATGAATGATTGTGTAACTGCCACCACAGTCAAGATATAGAACAGCCATTAATGTACCAGATTCTCTTGTACTCTTTTGTAGCCACCTCATTCCCCTGCCTTAGACCCTGGCAGCCCCGATCTTTTTTCTGCCCCTGCAGTTTTCCTTTTCCAGAATGCTATGTAAGTAGAATCATAGAGTGTGATAGTTTCTGCCCTCTGGCCCCCAGAGATAAATTTCCTTCCCATGTCAAAACATATTCATTCCATCCCAAGGCCTCCCCAAAAGTCTCAGTTCATTTCAGCATCAACCCAAAGTCCACAGTCTCATTTAAATCTCATCATCTAAATCAGGTATGAGAGGCTCTGGGTGTAGTCCATATGGAGGCATGATTCCTTTCCACCTGGGAAACCCAAGAAACAAGTTATTTGCTCCAACATAGAGTTGGGGAATGGGCATGGGATATCAGTTACAGACAGTCCTGTTCAAGGGTAGAGAAAAAGGAAGGAAAAAAGGATTCACCAGTCCCAAACAATTTCATTTTCATAACAGCAAAAGTTTTCAATTTTGACGAACTCTGGTCTATCAGTTTTCTTTTTTTATGCACCATGCTTTTAGTGTTATATCAAATCTTCCTTAATCTAAGGTCACTAAGGTTATCTATGTTTTCTTCTAGAAGTTTTGTACTTTCAGACATTATATTTAGGTGAATTTTGAGTTAGCACCTGTGTGTGGTAAAAAGTATGGATTGAGGTTTGTTTATTTGCATTTGGATGTCCAGTAATAAAATTTCTACTCCTTTGAAACTTAAAGTGTAGTTACGGTAGACAGACAGTCAGTGAACAATATGAATTTTTCGGATGATGGCAAGTGCTACGGAGAGTGGTGAAAGCAGGGCAAAGGGTTGAGAGTGCAGGGCGACAGTGAAGCCTGTGTGGGGTCGGTACCCTGACATCCCACATCAGGTGAGACTTTCTTTTTTTTTTTTTTTTTTTTTTTTTTTTTTGAGACGGAGTCTCACGCTGTTGCCCAGGCTGGAGTGCAGTGGCGCGATCTCGGCTCACTGCAAGCTCCGCCTCCCGGGTTCCCGCCATTCTCCTGCCTCAGCCTCCTGAGTAGCTGGGACTACAGGCGCCCGCCACCACGCCCGGCTAATTTTTTGTATTTTTAGTAGAGACGGGGTTTCACTGTGGTCTCGATCTCCTGACCTTGTGATCCGCCCGCCTCGGCCTCCCAAAGTGCTGGGATTACAGGCTTGAGCCACCGCGCCCGGCCCAGGTGAGACTTTCTAACCAGGTGACCTGACGGAGGTCAGGGGGTGAGCCATGTGCATGTCCTGTGGAAGAGAATTTTAGGCAGACAGAAAAGTAGCACAGAGGCCTGGTGAGGGGGGACAGGTGCTCAGCGTGGCCAGGCAGCTAGAAGGGTGAGAAGGATTGGTAGGAGCTACAGTCACAGGTGTAACACAGGTGAGAGGCTTGCCACTTAGAGTTATCTTGGCCAAGGTAAAAACATTTTATGTTGAGCACTCTGAGAAGCCCTTAGAGGGCTTCGAATAAAAGAGGTCATTCTCTGACTTAGTACTGCCCACATTGTGGTTCTTCCTCAGTGGTGTCAGTGTCACAGGGAGCTGGATAAAGATGCAGAGTAAGGGGCCCCACTCAGACCTGCTGAGTCAGAATCTCTGACGGTGGGGCCCAGGAATCCGCTTTAAAAGCTCTTCAGGTGATTCTGATATATGTTAAAGTTTTAAAAAAGTAATGTAATTTTAATTGACAAATTTTATATATTTATGGGGTACAATGTGATGTTTTGATACATGTATCCATTGTAGAATGATCAAATGAGGCTAATTAATATATTCATCACCTCACATACTTAATTATTTATTTGCAGTGAGACCATTTAAAATCCACTCTTCTAGGTCAAGTGGAGGCAGGGAGGCCAGTTAGGAAGCGATGACAGTGGTGCAGGTGAGTCACGGTGGCTCGTCCAGGGTGGCGGTGATGGAAGTGGTGAGTAGTAGTCAGATGTGGAATGTGTTTTATAAGTAGAGCCAAAAGGATCTGCTAATAGATTGAGTGTAGGGTGTAAGAGGAAGAGGTAAGTCGTGAACATTTCCAAGGTTTTTGGCCTTGGAAGGACGGACCTGCAGCTGCCGTTGACTGGGATGGTGAGAGCAGGGGAGCAGGGAAGCGTTTTAGATGGTGATGGGGAGGGCCGGGTGGTGAGAGCAGGAGGAGCAGGGAAGCGTTTTAGACGGTGATGGGGAGGGCCGGGGTGGATCTGGAGTCGGGTGTCGGGACAGGTTAAGACGGAGCTGAGTGTGAACCTAAGACACGTCGTGGCGGCTTTTTGACACCTGAGCTATGGGAGCCGTCGGAAGCCGTGTCTTCACTTCTGCCACCGGAGGTGTCCTTGGATGTGGTGAATGTTAAGAAGGATATTGTATTTAATAGTAACTTAATTTTTTTCTGATTGTAAATTATATGTATTTTGTCTAATTTAACAGGTATTCAAATAAAGTTAACTGCAGCTTTCTGTGAAAATGTCAGTTTTGATATCACAGAGCGTAATAAATTATGTAGAGGAAGAAAACATTCCTGCTCTGAAAGCTCTTCTTGAAAAATGCAAAGACGTAGATGAGAGAAATGAGGTAAGACCAAGTTTGCAAAATTACATTCTTTCACAAATATTTGTTGACTACCTACTACGTATAGGATAGAAGTGTGTAAGAAATAGGTAGTTCTGCTGGCCGGGCGCGGTGGCTCAAGCCTGTAATCCCAGCACTTTGGGAGGCTGAGACGGGCGGATCACGAGGTCAGGAGATCGAGACCATCCTGGCTAACACGGTGAAACCCCGTCTCTACTAAAAAATACAAAAAACTAGCCGGGCGAGGTGGCGGGCGCCTGTGGTCCCAGCCACTCGGGAGGCTGAGGCAGGAGAATGGCGTGAACCCGGGAGGCGGAGCTTGCAGTGAGCTGAGATCCGGCCACAGCACTCCAGCCTGGGTGACAGAGCGAGACTCCGTCTCAAAAAAAAAAAAAAAAAAAAAAAAAAGAGGTAGTTCTAACCCTTAGTAATATTGCACTGTACTTACGATGTAATGTCTTATAGTTAAAAGTACTTCAAATCCATGTTTTTGGAGTACATTTTAACTTACATAAATGATTGACTATTGAATTTAGATTTATTGATTTTTTTCCCACTGATGGAATAATTAATATTCAGGAAGCTTGATTACTGAAATCACGTACTTCTGTGAAACTTTAGAGATCATCTGGACCTGATCTTGATTAACCAGACAAAATCAGGGATTGTTGAAATACTTTCTTTAATGAGCCCCCACTATCTTCCTCCATTGTTTGTCCCACACACTGTGGGATTTTAAAAACCCTACATCTTTATTAGAGAGTTAAATAGGTTAGGTATTATATTTAGTAACACATTAATAAACATTAACTGAAGTGAGATGTTTCTCCTCAATGTTATGAGTTAAAAAATGTGGATCTTAGTTCATTATGAAAAGCCAAGCTATGATGATTATGATGATTATGATGATTATTATTATTTGAGACGAAGTCTTGCTCCGTCGCCCAGGCTGGAGTGCAGTGGCGCGATCTCGGCTCACTGCAAGCTCCACCTCCTGGGTTCATGCCATTCTCCTGCCTCAGCCTCCCGAGTAGCTGGGACTACAGGTGCCCGCCACCTCTCCTGGCTAATTTTTTTTTTTTAGGAGAGACAGGGTTTCACCATGTTAGCCAGGATGAGTCTCCATCTCCTGACCTCGTGATCCGCCCGCCTCAGCCTCCTAAGTGCTGGGATTACAGGCGTGAGCCACCATGCCTGGCAAGCCAAGCTATTATTATTTGGCAGGACATTTTAGGTGCTAATACAGTTTGGTGTATAATTTTGTGACTGTCAGGGTATGTGTTTGGTTTACAAACTCAAGGAAAACAAGCCTGTCTCTTAGAACTGTGTGTGTTTTCAAGAGTATGATATTTCTTGCCAGTAGATAAGATGAATAAGGAGTGACTTTTTATTTTACACTATATATGTATGTATATATACTTATGTGTTTGTATATATTTGCTTACATATATATCTTGTGTAGACATAAAAAAGTTTTATTTATTTTTTATTGTGATAAACACATAATATAAAATTTTACGTCTTTACCATCTTAACCATTTTTAAGGATACAGTTTAGGAGTATTAAGTATTTCTCCACTGTTGGGCAATAGATTCCAGAACTTTTTCTGTTTTTTATTTTTTTATTTTTTTTGAGACGGAGTCTTGCTGTCGCCCAGGCTGGAGTGAAGTAGTGTGATCTTGGCTCACTGCAACCTCCGTCCCCTGAGTTCAAGTGATTCTCGTGCCTCAGCCTCCTAACTGGGACTACAGTTGTGCGCCACCACACCTGGCTAATTTTTTGTATTTTTAGTAGATATGGGGTTTCACCATGTTGGTCAGGCTTGTCTTGAACTCCTGACCTCAAGTGATTCGCCCGCCTCGGCCTCCCAAAAGTGCTGCGATTACAGGCGTGACCACTCCATCCAGCCTACCAGAACTTTTTCATCTTGCAAAATCAAAATTCTGTCTATTAAACAACAGCTCTGCCTTTCCCCCTCTCTCTAAACCCTGGCAGTGACTATTTTACTTTCTATTTATATGAATATGACTATTTAGATACCTCATGTAATTGGACTTACATACTGTTTGTCTTTTTGTGACTGGCTTATTTCAGTTAGCATAATATCCTCAAGGTTCATTCACGTTATAGCATGTAACAGGATTTCCTTCCTTTTAAGGCTGAATAATATTTCATTGTATGTACGTAGCACATTTCTGTGGCTAGAAATTTGGGTTGCTTCCATCTGTTGGTTATTGTGAATAATGCTGCTATAAACATGAGTGTGCAAATGTTATACATGTTTTTGCTTTTGTTTTTTGTTTTTAGACAGGATCTCACTCCATTGGCCAGGCTGGAGTGCAGTGGCAGAATCAGGGGTCACTGCAGCCTTGACCTCTCAGGCTTAAGCGATCCTTCTGCTTCAGCCCCCCAAGTAGCTGGGACACAGGTGTGCACCACCATACCTGGCTAATTTTTTGTATTTTAGCTGAGATGGGGTTTTGCCATGTTGCCCAGGCTGGTCTTGAACTCCTTGACTCAATCTATCTGCCCGCCTGAGTCTCCCAAAGTGCTGGGATTACAGGCGTGAGGCATCATGCCTGATGTATAAATGTTTTTAAAGCTGCTAAATTGACTTAGTAATTACTTCATTATTACTTTTTCTGACTTGTGGTACCTAATTTCATTTAATGTTAACTCAGTTGTTAAGGAAATGTTGATATAAAAATGTTGTTATTATAATAATATTATGCTAGCTAATGTTTTTATTGAATACTTATGCAAATATTCTGGTATATATTTTCTATATCTTAGCTCATTTAACTTGCATAGCAGCTGTGTAAAGATTAATACTGTTATTTATCTTTATTTATGGGTAAATGACTGAATTACTCAGTTTCCTATCCAATGTATTATTTGGTAGAGTCCATATTTGAACTTTGCTCAATTTGACTTTAAACAGATTATAATCTGTTTAAGCTCTATGTTTTTTCTTTGAGTTTTCATAATAAAGTTTATTTAATGATTATGCCTATATTTTCACTGTTTCTATATTGAACAAAATATATTTTCATTAGTTAACATCATTACCCCCTTCTATGATAATGAATAGTCAAAAATTGTTATACATAGATAAGATACTAATCATTGGAGGTTAATTGTTATAAAATTATTACAGAATTAGTCATTTTGTTAGCATATATTAGCATATTTGGAATAACCATACGATAGTTTGAAAACATTAAATTTTACTTCAGAGACACTTGTCTAGGGAATGCTGAGAAAACAGCTTCACTCGGAAGGAAAAGATAGCACATCAGTAAGCGTCAAATTAATCTTATTGCTGTAAGGAGTAAAGCACAGTGGCATAGAGCTTAGTTTAGCATCATGCTAGATAAGCATTTAATGAATATTAACATATCCAGTTTAATATTGTATCAATTTAAATTGGAGTTTTAAAGTGATAATTTGAAACCACCTAGGCTTGTTCAGTTATGGCTCAGTGTAAAAGCTGGTATTTTTTTTTTTTTTTTTTTTTTTTAGCATTTTGCTTTTACAACTTCTGATAAAATGTAATTTTTATAGAATTACAAAAAGTTGTTTGTATTTTTTCCCCTTTTCTCTCGTTTTATTTTTATGTAACTTCATGTTAATGTGTTTTGGTTATCAGTTTTGAGAAAGATTCTTAAGTATTAGATCAATTAAAATAATGTGGGTAGGCTGTATACAGTGGCTCACACCTGTAATCCCAGCACTTTGAGAGGCTGAGTCTCTTGAGCCTAGGAGTTTGAGACCAGCCCGGGCACTGTAGTGAGACCCTACTTCTAAAAAAATTAGCTATGTGTGGCACCTTTTAGACCTAGCTACTTGGGAGGCTGAGGTGGGAGGATCGCTTGACCCCAGGAGTTCAAGGCTGCAGTGAGCTATGATTGCACCACTACACTCCAGCCTGGGTGACAGACTGAGACCCTATCTCTAAGAAATATAAAATAAACAAATTTAAAAAGGGGTAAAATTGCCTGATACTGTGTTTATTAGCACATAATTGGCCACAAACAGTGAATTCTAGTTTCCTTTTATTGCTTTATTTATAAACTAGATACATCTTTGGCCTATGAATATTTTCAGTGATGGCAAATCTTTGTCCTTTGTAGAGTAGCAAAATGTTTTTATTTTTATTTTATTTTTGAAAGGAACAAACAGTCACTCTCAGCTCTCCTTGGTATAAGGGAATAGTGTTGAGGCTGGTCATTTTTCTCCTGTTTAAGAAAATGAACTGAGACTTTAAGCAATGGAATTTGCTATATGTTTATGAGTAAACTTTATTTTATTTTTTTGAGATAGGATCTTGCTCTGTTGCCCAGGCTGGAGTGTAATGGCATGATCCAGCTCACTGCAGCCTTGACCTGCTGGGCTTAAGCAATCCTCCCATCTCAGCCACCCGAGTAGCTAGGACTACAGGCGTGTGCTACCACGCCTGGCTCATTAAAATTTTTTTTTTTTTTTTTTGTAGAGATGAAGTTTCACAATGTTGCCCAGGCTATTCTCCAACTGCCGGGCTCAAGTGATCCTCCTGCCTCAGCCTCCCAAAGTGCTAGGATTACAGGCATGAGAGTCACTGCGCCTGGTCTGTAAATAGACTAAAGGAAATTTCAAAGGAGGATTTCGAAATATTTTAGTTTCACTATAGTTATTGGAAGAAGTAGAAACCCTCCAGAAGGACTGCTTTAAAAAAAAAACAAAAAACCGTGGTTATTTAGGTTTCATACACTTAAATAAGTAGAAATGGGAACCTGGAAATTGGGAAGAGCAAAAAGATGCTTGAATAGTAGCTGTTTTTGCATTGTAGTCTTCTGGGAAGCTGAGATAAAGTCCAGTATTTCAGTAGGTGCATAGTGTTCTGTTTTGTTTTTGGTGTGTTTTGGCTTGAGGTCACTATAAGTAGTAGAGCAGGGTTTATGTGGATTATGTAATCCTGTGTTTTCTGGAAGGAGATAGGCATGGAATTTGCTGGGATGTGTGGGGTCAGGTATGGAAAGGATCTTTATTGATTCATTTTCAAGTAGAAAAATGAAAGTTCTCATGATATAAGTTACTTTATCTCGACAACTGTAGTTACTGGACTGGTTAAGCAAGAACTAGGAAAATCCAAAAATAGGCTTTGTTTTCAGGGCGAACTTTTAAAGTAACAATCGTTCTATTTTTGGGGATCCTGTAAAACTTTATGGCAGCCTTTCCTGAAAGTCATTATCTTTTTGGATAGTGTAGATACAAAAGGTGCATCAGTTAAGAATTGCTTTGTACTGCATGGAACAGCTCTCAAAACAGTGATTTAGACAAATTAAGGTTTTGTTTTTCTGTCATTATGACAAGCTAGATGAGCCATTTCAAGGCTAATATGATGGCTTCAGGATATCCTCAAGAACCCAGGCTCCTTCCTTTCTCTCCAGTCGTCACTGTGTGCCTATTGCATCACATCCGTCATGTTCAAAAGCCCCAGCACTGTGTCTCAGTTTGGCCAAGAAGAAGGAAAAGGCACAGACCAGCAGAATTAGTCCCTGACAGAGCTTTCCTGGGAGAGCTAGCCAGGGCACCATTGTGGGATTATTTCCAGCTGCAAGTGAGGCTGAACACTGGGCGTTTTTTTTCCAGCTGAGCTCACTGCCACCCCCAACAAGCCCTGTCTTTCTACATGCTGGGTAGACAACTGATAGTTTCTGCAAGAAAAGAGAATGACAGTTCGAGTCTTTCATTTGGCATGTTTCTAGGCTATCAAATTTATACCATCTTTCCTACTTGTGTTGTATGTATTTGTAACATTTATATTATGTTTTTCTCTCATTATCTAGAAACACTTATCTATGTGAACATCTGAAATGTAACTGTGACCCAGAGAGTAAACAGAAAACTTCCCTGAGTCTTTGGAATTATAATTTTGAAAACTGTGATGTAAAATTGATGTATCCTCAGGACTGTGGATTTAGAGTCTGTTGCTTTAATTTATATATTTTACCAATGACTTTGATACCTGACTTTGTGTCCCAGTAGATTAGAAGGGAGAACAGTTCTATAGAATGTATACCAAAGAACCTAGAGCTGACAGAGGCATGCATGGCAAAGTAATTGATGTTGGTAGTTATGACTCAGAATTATAAACGTAATGTTTCAGGTAATCTGTTTAACAAGTAGCAGTACGTGCATAGCTTTTTAGAATGATGATTATCATAAAAGTTATAATCAGCTTTAATGTTGAGAAGATAAATTGTTTCACCCAGAAAATCTATTTATGTGTAATGCGTCATTCCCTAATGACCATGGTTGGATGACATGTGGCTACCACATATAATTTAGCATCCATCCTTACATAGGAATGTCTGTATTTAATGTGACCGATATTTGAACTTTAAACCAGTGTTTGTGTTTAAATCCTTACTTGTATTATTCTTATAATAGCATCTGTTGTATTTTGCTAATCATTATAACTGTTTGCTTATTTGGATTTTGTGCCTAATAGAATTTTAAATTCTTTGAGACTTTGCTCACTCGTTTACTCAGCAAATATTTGGATACCTGTGTGGCAGTCACTGTCCCTCACACTGGGTATATAGTTTTAAACCCATAAGCAAAACAGACATGTTTCCCGGCCTTTAGGGGAGACAGAAATGATCAGTTGTTAATCACACAATAAAAATGTGGTTACAAACGAGGATTAGTATAGGAGAAGTAAATTATAGGGGATCAGTAAGGAGGTGGGAATGAGCAGGAGGGCACGTTGAGGCTGGAGGTGGCACAGACTGGGTTGAGAGCCAGGCACATGCCCTGCTCCGCATCACTCAGGGTTTGTGTCAGCATGGGTAAGGATGTTGGTTCTTATCCAAAAGAACTATGGGAAAACATCAAAGGGTTTTCAGCCGAGGAATAATGTCAGGTGGGCATTTAAAAGAATCATAGATATTTCCCCCCATACTAATATACATGTAGTAAGTAGGTGTTTAAGTGTTTGCATAATTAAACTTAATTTTTGGTGTACATTTTTCTCATATGCCTTAGTGTGTCTTAGTACCTTTAGTATCATCCCTCTTTAACCTGGTACTTCCTTTTTGAAAAATTTTAATTTTAATTTTTTTTTGGGACAAGTCTTGCTGTGTCACACAGGCTGGAGCTCAGTGGTACGATCTTGGTTCACTGCAACCTTTGCCTCCCAGGTTCCAGCGATTCTCGTGTCTCAGCCTCCCAGGTAGCTGGGATTACAGGAATGCACCATGACGCTCCCTCTAGTTTTGTATTTTTAGTAGAGACGGGATTTCACCATGTTGGTCAGGCTGGTCTTGAACTCCTGGCCTCACGTGATCCGTCCATCTTGACCTCCCAAAGTGCTGGGATTACAGGCTTGAGCCACTGCGCCCGGCCTAACCTGGTACTTGCCGATCTGTTTCCTGTCATGGCACTTACAGAAAATGATAACTTTTGACTGCACTTGCAGTAGATGAGGCTTGCTGGTAGGGGTGACTTGTCCAGGTGCCTAGCTGCCTGAGCCCTGCCCTTGTCTCCAGGGCTTGAGGGAGCATCGTCTCTGTACTCCTGTGACTCATTCTTAACCCGAAGGCTGGGACACTGATTTCACTAGTAGGAGCTTTATTTAGTTTAGTGAACTAAGTTTCTAAGAGAAGGCTTTAAAAAAACTACATATGTGTATTATACATAGCACCTGGTTGTTTTTATTCATTATTTTACTTTTCTTCTTATGGTCCTATTTCAGACAAAACATCTATATGTAATTAAAAACACATTCTAGATCGTATTCTACCTGTATTGTTAGAGAATTTGGCTACCATAAGTATTCTGAAATTTTATGTATATTTCAGTAATTGCATTCCAAATCCTAGTGTTATTCATATTTACTTGCTTTAAATGAATTTGCAGGGCCAAAAACAGATTGTTAATACTGTGGGAAGAAAAATTATGTTTTATTTTTTCTTTGACTTTTAAATTACTACTAAACTGCAACTTAAAGTTCAAAGCTATTTCTAAATTAAATGTAGTAAACACAACTAACCAGTGCTTAACATACATTCATGAAAATGTTTGGTATATTTAACTGTGATGTTTTAGTAAAAGTAGCATATCTTGATAAGTTCCCTGTGTCCTTTATATTTTCTAGTGTGGCCAGACTCCACTGATGATAGCTGCTGAACAAGGCAATCTGGAAATAGTGAAGGAATTAATTAAGAATGGAGCTAACTGCAATCTGGAAGATTTGGTATATATTAAATAATTTACTCATCATTTGCTCACTCTTTTCTTTGCTATGTTTTTTGTTTTTCAGAGGTGATTCAAAAGTAATAATTAAAACTTTTACATATATTTCAACTTTGCCTAGTGGGCTGTATCAGTGTTTTTTTAAAAGAGTAATACAGGAGAGAAATTTTTACTTTCAATGAAGGATCTCAGCTCTTTGGTTTTTTTATATGGATGAGACTGGCTGAATAGAGAGCATGTGTACATACAGTTAAATGTCCGCCTAGAAGATATCCACGTATGAGTCATGTTAAGTAACTCCCCATAATGGTAACTTATTATAAATATCATACATATGATAATGGCCAGGAATATATGGTCCCTTCTGATACCACCTCTGAGGGGTAAATCGACATTCCACACGTTACATTTCCTCTGATTCTCCCTGTATTTTTGGAATTGCTTTTGAGGGTCACATAGCTACATCTATTTTGTTTCTTAATTGAATGATTACAGTTAGGAATAAAAGTTAACATAGGATGCTTATATCCTTTATTTAAAAAATAAAAGAGAATAGTTCTTTTCTTTATCACATTGTATCTAAACATTTGAGATCTCTGTAGTCTGGTAGCCTGTGAATGTGCTTTTAAAATCTGATTACAGTCTCTTTAATTTGAATTTAAATTATAGTCAGGGTGGCTAGCCTTGAGGAATTAGCTTTGAGTTTGATTGATCATTTTTTCTCATTTTTGAAAAGCACAGTATATGATTAGAAGTCCAGTGAGAAGACTGGAACAACGGTTATAAAACCATGTTTACCCCATTCTTAGTGATGCAAGGGACAGATGGATTCTTAGGAGAGCTCAGTGTGACTGTAGAGTAGTTTAGTTAGCATGGGTCACGTCATGTCAACTTGGTAATGATCATTGGGTATGAGGTTGAAATTTAGTTTTCCTTACTTTGAAATGTTATTTTTGGTTTGAAAATGATAACTTTTAAAAATATGTTTCAAGGATAATTGGACAGCACTTATATCCGCATCCAAAGAAGGGCATATACACATCGTAGAGGAACTGCTGAAATGTGGGGTTAACCTGGGAGCACCGTGATATGTGTATGGACATTTTTATATGTTCTTCATTAGCTGAAATCTTGTTTATTAATCATTAGATATGTGTGAAATCTTTGTATTTTATGTGTGACAATGATATATTATTAATAATGTTTTTAGAATTTGGGTTGGGACATTGAAATGACCCTCAAGAATGTTTTAAAACCCAGGTGTTATAATATACCTCATAGTACATTCTTAGTCATTTTTCGTTTATTCAGAAGTTTAAAATTCTGACATATTTGTTACAAAATAACTCATTACTCTTTAATATATCAACATTTTGATCTTCTGAGACAGTTGTTTCCTTTAGGTAGGACTTAGGAGGACCAGCGTTATGGTCTTTAAATAACTATTACCAGGTATTCAAAGTTACACTTTTCAGGAATAATATTTTAGATTTATTTTTAAAATGTGGTTATTTTCAGACATGCTATCCGTGCATGACAGAAGTTAACAAGATGTGATCCTTAATTATTACTTAGCTCTTTACTTGAGCTTGGGCCATCGGTTAAAGCATAAGGTGAAGAGAGAGGTCATTTCTGGAATTCTGTAAAATGTTCAGCCCTTTTTAAAAGTTGATTTAAACAGTAGAAGAAAGGGAAGAAAATGATCTGCTGTGATATATAAAATATTTATTACTTAGCTGATATGGTTTTTTGAAGTACAGACGGTCTGAGTTTTTTAAGAAGCCTTAGCATTTCACCATTTTGCACTTAATAACACATTAAAAATTTCACAGTAGTTCAACCTGTATAATCTTATATTTTCTCAAAACTAAGTGCAATGGGTGGTATCCTTATTTTTATAGAAGATACAGGAACCGCTGTATCTTATATATTTCCAAAAAGAATTTAAGTACGTTGCAGTGAAAGTTAGGGAGAGAAATAATGATGTCAGTAACTGAGGCAAAGATGGATATGACAGCTGAGAGTGAAGTGTGGTTCTTGCCTGTTGGTACGAAAGGTAGAAGGAAATGCAGGGATTATCGAGTTCTCAATACTTATTAAAGTACCTTACCAGATTATCAGATGGGTTAATGACACAGCAGCTGTAAAGCACCTAAAGAACCAGTGTGGAATAGGTACCATACCAATAGTACTTATACCAGTAGGTAGCTATTCCATGCCTGGCCTCGTTAGGTGCTTTATAGCTGCTCTGTCATTTAACTGACTTCTCAGAACAATCCTATGGACTAAGGGCAGATTTTATTCTCAATGATAATTGAGAAATTGAGACTGGAAGAGGTGAATCTTTATCCTAAGTCACGCAGCTAGTAAGCAATTAGGCTGGGTTTTGAACCAGATCTCCCTGCTCCAAAGACTTTCTCCTCTATCATTGTTTTACATATATCAGCAAGGGAATTAGGAACAATAAAATATACATTATGAAGTGTAAAAGTGCATTAAGATTTGTAAAAACTGATTTCTTAAACTTTGTTGGTTCTCCCTTTTCTTCAAAGTGATGACCAGGAAACCTTTAACATTTAAAGGGTCTTATTTTGGCTTTAAAACACTGAAAATTGGGGAAACTGAGGACCATGTCTCTCTCAGTAACCAGTATTGTGGGACCTTAACCTCAAAGGATTGGTGGGTGGGCAGTAGTAACTATCAAGTTGAGGGAAGACAGAGTCCCTGGGACTTGTTTAAGGAGAGAGATGACCACTGAGGTCCTGTGGGGCTCAGGAAGGATTCCAGGATTAATATCAGAAGTCTAGTGGGACTCTTCCTGTGAGGACCTTTACTGGCACCAAAGTAAAGAAAGAGTTCATGAAATATAAAGCTATACTATAGTTAATTGTCTCAGTCTTTTGCCAATTTAGCTTCATTTCTTGAGATTAAAATTTTATCTCGTAGTTTCTTACGTAGGGGCCAGAGGGACATTATTCTTTTTTTTTTTTTTTCCCCCTGAGACGGAGTCTCGCTCTTTGCCCAGTCTGGAGCACAGTGGCACAATCTTGGCTCACTGCAACCTCCGCCTCCCAAGTTCAAACAATTCTTCTGCCTCAGCCTCCTAAGGAGCTGGGATTACAGGTATGTGCCACCACGCCTGGCTCACTTTTGTGTTTTTAGTAGAGACAGGATTTCACCATGTTGGCCAGGCTGGTGTTAAACTCCTGACCTCAAGTGATCCTTCTGCCTAGGCCTCATTTTTTTTTTTTTTTTTTTTTTGAGACAGGGTCTCTGTCACCTCACTACAACCTCCGTCCCCCAGGCTTGAGTGATCCTCCCACCTCAGCCCCCCTTGTAGCTGGGACTACAGATGCACACCACCGTGGCTGGCTAATTTTTGTATTTTTGTAGAGTCAGGGTTTTGCCATGTTGCCCAGGCTGGTCTTGAACTCCTGAGCTCAAGTGATCTGCCTGTCTTGGGCTCCCAAAGTGCTGGCATTACAGGCGTGAGCCACCATGCCCGGCTGGGACATTATTCAAATTGAAGTGAGGGCATGATGATAAAAAGTTCTGGGCAAGGCTGGGTGCGGTGGCTCATGCCTGTAATCCCAGCACTTTGGGAGGCGGAGGTGGGCAGGTCCCGCGGTCAGGAGATCTAGACCATCCTGGCTAACATGGTGAAACCCTGTCTGTACTAAAAATACAAAAAAATTAGCTGGGTGTGGTGGCTGCCTGTAGTCCCAGCTACTCAGGAGGCTGAGGCAGGAGAATGGCGTGAACCCGGGAGGCAGAGCTTGCAGTGAGCTGAGATTGCACCACTGCCCTCCAGCCTGGGCGACAAGTGAGACTCCGTCTCAAAAAAAAAAAAAAAAAGTTCCGGGCAAGTATTTTACAAGTTAAAATATAGATGTAAGACTTTACTTGACCAAATGCCCAGCTCTGTACTTTGACCTAAATATGTTGTGTCTTTCACGGCCTTGACACTTTAGAATAGTACTCATCAGTAGTTTCAGGTTGTTCCTCAGTTTGGATTTGTAGGTGTTTCTCGTGTTCACATGCAGATGTGCTTTAGAGGGAAGGATGTCCCAGAGGCGATGTGCTTTTCTTGGTGTACCTCCTGGGGGAATGTGATTTCAGTTGGTGTCACTGGTGATGTCAGCCTTCATCTCTTGATTAGGGTAGTGTCTGTTACTGTAAGGGTACTATTTTTCCGTTTGTAATTACTTAATATTTGGGGGAAGATACTTTGAGACCAAACAAAATACCTTTCTTCTGACTAAACTTTCACCTATTTGATTTAGCATTCATCAGTGAATCTTACCTGCAACAGTTATTACCATAACTGTGGTGGTATAATGATGAGTTTCTGCTGCCCTCATATTCTGCATTAATTAATTAGAATTCTTCTGTAGGGAAGAGTGCCTGCTTCCCTTCCCCACACCCTACTCTGTCTGTCGTCTGTCTGTCCATCCATCCATCCATTCATCCATTCATCTATATATCTATCTATATCTTTCTATTTCAGTATGGACTTATAAATATTTATTCCTTGGGTTATAGTCCAGTACTAATATTACTGCTCAAGTTATTCCAACTTTATCCATTAGAAGCTCTTTCAGGCTGGCTCTGTGCCCTTTTAAGATGTTCCGTACTTAAAAAAAATTCCTTAGTAAGATTTGATTACATTGGTCTTTTTTTATTGAATTGTATCATAGTTAAGGAGAAGATTGCTCCTGTAGCTTAGTAAGTAGAACTTCATCAAGTGTGGTGTTAATTCATACCTGATGACCTTGCCTACATCTGGAAATCCTGATCATGGATGAGATGCCTTAGCATCCTCTCTCTTTAGCAAGAGGTACTATAATGATCTGGGGTTTAAAGGATGTGTTTAAATGCAGGAGTTGAATATGATTGTTAGAATCTCTCTCTGGATAAAGTTAAATTCATATAAAGAAATGAATATCTAGGAACATAGAAAGTTTCTGAAGAAAAAAATTGTTTTTTTCTGAGATGGAGTCTCGCACTGTCGCCTGGCTGGAGTGCAGTGGCACAATCTCGGCTTACTGCAACCTCCGCCTCCCAGGTTCAAGTGGACTTCTGCCTCAGCCTCCCAAGTAGCTGGGACTACAGGTGCACGCCATCTTGCCTGGCTAATTTTTGTATTCTTTTAGTAGAGATGGAGTTTCACCATATTGGTCAGGCTGGTCTCAAACTTCTGAGCTCATGAGCCGCCTGCCTTGGCCTCCCAAAGTGCTGGGATTACAGGCATGAGCCACCACGCCCAGCCTGAAGAAATATTTTAGACAGCCAAAATAAATCTTAGAAATTTGGAAGAGTTCATAATGAATGTTCTCTAATTCAGGTTTCGTTATATAGCATAAACTTTGGACTAACCATTTGTGGATGCAAGAGATTTGACTTACTTCATGTACTATTGTATTTGGGGAGCCTGGGAATTTAAAACTATATAATACTACCATCATGAAACAGTGGTTTATAAAGATATTTACTAAAGAAATTTCATTAGTGACATTTTTTATACTCAGAGATGATCTAACGTTTGATTCCCTTACCCCTACTTTTTTTATGTAGGGAGGATGGACAGCTCTCATGTGGGCATGTTACAAAGGCCGTACTGACGTAGTAGATTTGCTTCTTTCTCATGGTGCCAATCCAAGTGTCACTGGTCTGGTAAGCATTAACAAACAAATTTGTTTGTATTATAAGTGGTAAGTTTTCTTAGGGAATACTTAAGGTTGATTATACTTGGCTTCATTGTGGGTAGAGATATTCTTTATCTTATTAAATAAACATAATGTAGAATATGATTTCAAAACACACACAGTAATGAGAATTTTTATCTAAAGCTACGTTTATTTTTCAATTGTTGTCCGCAAAAAGGCAGCTCTTAGAGCTTAAATGTTAATTATAACTATATAACATTGCAAAAGGAAATTTTGAAATCTTTAGTCATCTTCCTGTTTTCTGTGTGTGAATCCTTAATCTGAACTTATTTAAAGAAAAGAGACATTTACCAAATAATTATGCTGTTTTTCTATACATTCTGTTATATATATTTACATTCCTCTTATTTCACTTTCTTCTTAATAGTATTGCCTTTTGACCAGATAACCACATTTTAATGTGTTGAATTTACAAAAATAAATGTATTCATAATATATGATTATTTAAGATTTGTTATATCTTAGTTGCCAATTATGTATTACGAGTGTTTCATCTGTTTTTAAAATGGAGAATGGTTTGTAATCTGATTAAAAAAACATTGCTTTGTGTTACTTCCTTTGATATTTACTTTACTTAACAAATGTGTGTTGTAAATATCTACCTAAAAGATTTTATTTTTCCTTCCCTCCCTCCCTCCTTGCTTGCTTTCTTTCCTTCCTTCCTGCTTATCTACCTACCTACCTACCAATCTATCCTAGCAGTACAGTGTTTACCCCATCATTTGGGCAGCAGGGAGAGGACATGCAGATATAGTGCATCTTTTACTGCAAAATGGTGCCAAAGTCAACTGCTCTGATAAGGTAGGTCAGCAGCATCATTTCAGGTTCCAGTCCATGTTGTGTCCACTCAGTGTCTAAGTTATAAACATTTTTATATGATATCATGAGGCTTCTCTAATGTAGTTTATATTTTGTATATTAATGCATTTTATATAGATATATATCTCATAGATGGATTCCCTGGGTATATTATGTAGTCAGTATCCTTCTGATGTTTTCTTATGTCACATTCATCATTCCCAAGAAAACTGACTGGGATGATAGAGTCCCTGTCTTCATTGTTTGAAGTTTTCGATTGTAACTCTTCTTCCTACCTTCAGTCCTATCTGCTTTCTCTGTATTGTTGTGTGAGAGATCTTTCTAAAATTGAAGTTTGGTTGTCTTTCTCTTGGGCTTAAATTCCTGAAGACCATCTCTGGTATGGTGGGTGAAGATGGGCCTTGCCTTCCTTTTTCCCCTTCTCTTGCTTCTTATCCCCCATGCTTCCTCACATGCCAGCCACCAAACGACCCATGGTCCAGGGCTCCTTCGCAGTGTGCCCGCCTCTTCCTCCTCAGCTTCTCTTCATCTCTGAGGCTCTGCCTATTTGCTGGCACCTCCAGAAAGCATTCCAGAATCATGTGCTATTCTTTTTTTTTTTTTTTAATACTTAACACTTACCTCAGTTATTGCATAAATACTTACCTAATTATCTTTTTTTCTTCTTTACTTTTGGAAAGCTTCATTGGCTTTCACTGTTTGGGGATAAAACCCAGGCTTTTCAGTCTGGCTTCAGCCTGTCTCTGAGGCTCACTTCTTGCCATTTTTTACATATATGCTGTGTTTTAGATACAACAGATTGTCTAACGTTCTGTGAACGTTGTTTCTGTGTTTATTCTGTTCCCTCTGCTAGGCATGCTATTACTTCCTCTGCCTGATGAACTCCTGTTTATTTCTCAAGGCTTATTTGAGGTGTTAGCTTCTTTGTTAAGTCTTCTTACCCTGGGTGCCCCTTCCTGGGTACTCTGCACATTTCCATTAGGGCACATAACCTATTGCCTTGTAATGATTGATTTCCACATCCTTCTTACCACTAGAGTGTACGTTTCATGTAGATAAGGACTGCCTTTTTTTTTTTTTTTTCCCCCATTTTGTACCTCCATTATTGCCATTAGTGGTCTTAGTATTTGGCATATTGTGGGGATAACTGTAATCTTTTCATATTTATTGTAGCTAAATATAGGGAAATAGCTATTACTTTAAGATTTGTTTTTTGTCATTAAAATAGATTCTGCACATAAATTTCTTTAAGTACAACAGTATTGTTTAACCTTATGGGGCTGCTGGAAATCATTCATCTCTTGATCTGGGCAGTAGTTATGCCAGTGTATACATATGTAAAAAATCATCAAGTCGTACAGTGAAAATTAGTATATTTTTTGTACTTTGTACATGTTATGCCTCACTTAAAAATATTACACAAAATAATAGCTTAATGAGGAGCATAGGGAGGCTGTTGTAAATATTTATATTATAATATGGCATTTAAGAATATTGCATTTGTACTGTTGGCTAATTCAGATTGACTGAGGTTTGACGTATGTCTAAAATGGATACAGTTTTGTCTGTTGATGGATTTTTTTTTTTTCTTTTTCTTTTTTTTTTTTTTGAGACGGAGTCTCGCTCTGTCACCCAGGCTGGAGTGCAGTGGCCGGATATCAGCTCACTGCAAGCTCCGCCTTCCGGGTTCACGCCATTCTCCGGCCTCAGCCTCCCGAGTAGCTGGGACTACAGGCGCCCGCCACCTCGCCCGGCTAGTTTTTTTTTGTATTTCTTAATAGAGACGGGGTTTCACCGTGTTAGCCAGGAGGGTCTCGATCTCCTGACCTCGTGATCCACCCGTCTCGGCCTCCCAAAGTGCTGGGATTACAGGCTTGAGCCACCGCGCCCGGCCGGATTTTTTTTTTTTATATGGAGTCTTGCTCTGTCACCCAGGCTGGAGTGCAGTGGTACGATCTTGGCTCACTGCAACCTCTGTCTCCTGGGTTCAAGTGATTCTCCTGTGTCAGCCTCCTGAGTAGCTGGGATTACAGGTGCGCACCACCACACCTGTCTAATTTTTGTATTTTTAGTAGAGACGGGGTTTCACCATGTTGCCCAGGCTGGTCTCGACCTCCTGAGCTCAGGTGATTCACCTGCCTCGGCCTCCCAAAGTGCTGGGATTACAGGCGTGAGCCACCACGCCCAGCCTGTGATGTAATTTAATTATAATAGAGAAGCCTTTATTTTCTCCTTGCCTATAATAAAATGTTTATATATAGCTTGGCTTTCAAGGCCCTCAAGAATCAGGTAATAATGCTACCTAATCTGTCACTCATTAGCATTTTGAGAAAATGTTTAGTATCCACTATGCAGTACCCTGTACCTGCACTTAGCACAGAAGATATAAAAACAAAGAAGAAATGATCTCTGTTTAGAGAAGTAGGGAGATAAGTGGGCCACGTAAAATGCAAAGGCCCAGGGTCAGGTGACTTAGGAGTGTAGAGGTGGGAGAATTCACTGATGGTGCAGCAGTCAGTCAAGATTTGGTAAAAGAATGCGACTTCCTCTAGACCTTGAAGAAAGGGTAGAGTTTACATCCCTGAGAGAGGAGGAGCAGAAACGAACTGGGCACAGGGAAAAGAGAGCACAAGGTACCAGGGAACGGCTTCAGGTGGCCTGTTGAGCTAGTGTTGAGTGCACCCTCAGTGGTGAGGAGAGGGGTGGGAGGAGGAAGCTGGGCTGCAGGCGAAGCCACCTTTGGGTGAGCCTTGGATACTTGGCTAAGGAGCTTGGACATCTGGCCTGTAGACACTCAGAATCACTGGGGATTTTAAGTAGTAGGTGGTCGCAAAGTGATGTTTTGAAAACATTGACGTTTAATAGCCCACAGTGGGATGGATTGAAGGTTGAGAGCATTTTTATTTCTGACAGAAGTAGGGAGGCTTCTATGGGAAGGAATTCTTAGAGAAAGGAAGGCAGTCTGTTTAGACGTGTTGACCTTGAAGTGGTGGGAACTTGTAGTTGAAGGTGTCCTACTAGGTAGTGGACATAGAGATTTGGGTTGCTGGTGCTAAAGGGCTTGCCTAGAGGTGATTCTTGAAATGCTGTGAGTGCGGATTTGGCAGCTGAGATCAGTAGTAACAGAATATGGTGAGCAAAGGGCTGATTATTAGGAATAATAATAATTATTTTTTCTTAATTATAATACCTAGTTATTTATATAATTATTATTAATCTCCAGAGCTGGGAGAACTTGGCTGGTATAGCATCAAACGTGGTGAATGAATCAAAAATTCAAGTTGGAAGGGACAGTCAGTATAGTTGAAAAATACTGCAGAGCTTTCAGGAAGAAAAGAAAGAACTTAGTAAAAGATACATAGGCCGGGCGCGGTGGCTCACGCCTGTAATCCCAGCACTTTGGGAGGCCGAGGCGGGCGGATCACAAGGTCAGGAGATCGAGACCACGGTGAAACCCCGTCTCTACTAAAAATACAAAAAATTAGCCGGGCGCGGTGGCGGGCGCCTGTAGTCCCAGCTACTCAGGAGGCTGAGGCAGGAGAATGGCGTAAACCCAGGAGGCGGAGCTTGCAGTGAGCCGAGATCGCGCCACTGCACTCTAGCCTGGGCGACAGAGCGAGACTCCGTCTCAAAAAAACAAAAAAAAAACAAAAAAAAAAAAACAAAAAAAAAAGATACATAGGTGGCTGAGTGTGGTGGCTCATGTTTGTAATCCCAGCACTTTGGGAGGCCGGGGCAGGTGGATCACCTGAGGTCAAGAGTTCAAAACCACCCTTGCCAACATGGTAAAACCCTATCTCTACTAAAAATACAAAAATTAGCTGGGCATGATGGTGGGTGCCTGTAATCCCAGCTACTTGGGAGGCTAAAGCAGGTGAATCACTTGAGCCCAGGAGGTGTGGAGATTGCAGTGAGCTGAGATCGTGCCACTGCACTCCAAGCTGGGCAGCAGAGTGAGATTCCCTCTCAAAGAAAAAACAAACAAACAAACAAAAAACCAAAAAAAGATACATAGATCTGGAGTTTAGGTGACTATTTGGGTGACCTCTGCAATGGTGGTTTTGTAATGTTTGTAGCAGAACCTAGTTTTTTAGGGGAGTTTGGTAAGGGGTTATAAATTATCTTGAAAAGCTTAAAAGAAAGGACAGTGATTATCTTCAGAGGGTAGCCTGTTGGAAAAATCTGTTAGGATAGGAGAGACCCACATTGGAAGGACTTCAATCAGAGACTAATAGGAAGAGGGAGTAAGAAGAAAAGACTGATGATGTGGCAGGAGATTATTGAGTAAGGGCCTGGGTGAAAGAGGACCATAGGATCAAGAATATACATAAAGGGATTAGATTGAGAAGGGGTAGAGAGCAGAATTTGAGAAAGAGATGAGAGACTTATTGAGATAGTTCAGAGTGTGGCTGCAGAGCTGTTTTGAAGCAGACAGGATGCAAGGTGAGGGAAGGTCTTGCTGGATGTTAGGAGTTCTTTGTAATGTTGAGAGTGGGACTGTCTCCCAAATGGGAGTGGGTGAGGACTAGCTGGCTCATGTGATGAGGCAGGGAAAGGAGCAGAAATCATAGCATATAATCGTGGATAGTTCAGTTCCATAAGAAGGGCAGAAATCCAATGCAATAGGTATTCAAAGGATGAGAGCTCAGTTACAATTAGTATATTTTTAAAAGGCTTTATGAAGGGTGATTTTCTATGTGTATTATGTTTGAAGATGTCTAAGATATTGATATTGTAAAGTTGGGAAAGGCATTTTACCCAGAGTAAGTATTATCCACAAAGAAGGAGGCTAGAAAAGAGAATTTAGTTCTTTTTAGTGGAGAAAACCACAGATGCAGGAGTGAAGTTGGGAATCTCCTCCTGAATTTCTTTTCTTTTCTTTTTTTTTCTTTTGAGACAGAGTCTCGCTCTGTCGCCCAGGCTGGAGTGCGGTGGCGTGATCACGACTCATTGCAACCTCCACCTCTCAGGTTTAAGTGATCCTCCTGCATCAGCCTCCCCAGTAGCTGGGACTACAGGCATATACCACCATGCTTGACTAATTTTTTTGTGTTTTTAGTCTAGATGGGATTTCTCCATGTTGGCCAGGCTGCTCTTGAACTCCTGACCTCAGGTGATCCACCTGGCTTAGCCTCCCAAAGTGCTGGGATTACAGGCGTGAGTCATAGTGCCTGCTCCTCCTGTATTTCTTACTCGTTCTCCCTAAGCCTGCTTTGAGGCAGTGACTGTGGCAGCTGCTTCCCCTCCATTCTCTTCCTTGTTTTGTGAGGCTCTGGCTTCCATGTGCTGTATTGGCAGCCTTTTGATTCTGGCTGTCATAGAGTCTTCATCCATCTGGGAAGCCCGTCCAGGGCTCCAGCCCTCAACAGTGTGGTTGCTGTGGTGTCCGACATGATTTATAGAGCAACTCTGCTCCGTACAGTAGCCACTAGCACAGGACTACTTAGACTTACATTAATTAAAAAAACCAAAACAAAAAAAACTCAGTTCACAGTCACAGTAGCCACATAGCATTCAAGTGCTTCATAGTCATTATTTGACGAGTGACTACTGTATCTCACAGCACAGAATTATAGAGTATTTCCATCAACACAGAAAGTTCTACTGGACAGGGCTGTCGCAGAGAGTAGATTAAATTAAATTAAATTAAATGTTAATTTCCACCTGTGGGCTGCATGTACTGAAAGGTCACTGTGGGCATTCATGTGTCTGCCGATCGCTAGCCTCCTCAAAGGCAGGCAATGCCTTAATGCATGATTTATATTCCTGGATGCCTTTTGAATCATGTTTCAGGGAAAGGTGCTTTTGAGTGCAGTTTCAAGGGCTCATGGGTCTTGTCCCATCTTGTGATAACTTTGTGACCTTAGCCTATGAATTAAGCTCTTAGGGCCTCAGTGTCGTCATCTGTGAAAATGTGATACTGTGAATTGTTCTTATGATAAGGATCACACACGCAGACCCATGTAAAGTGGTTAGGCTGCTTTAGTTTGTTTGGCACTTGGTTGCTATTCCCGCTCACAGTCAGACTGCTGGACTTTAAATTGTTTCACAAGATATGGGAAGCAATGAAATCTTGTTGAAAATTTGGGGCTGTGTTACCTTGTGATGGAAACATTGTCACTCATTATAAAAGTTAAATAAGAGCCTGGCTCAGTGGCTCTTGTCTATAATCCCAGCACTTGGGGAGGCTGAGGCAGGCAGATCAGTTGAGGTCAGGAGTTCAAGACCAGCCTGACCAACATGGCAAAACCGGTCTCTACTGAAAATACAAAAAAATGAGCCAGTTGTGGTGGTGCATACCTGTAATTCCAGCTACTCAGGAGGCTGAGGCATGAGAATTGCTTGAGCCGGGAGGCAGAGATTGCAGTGAACCGAGATTGCACTACTGCATTCCAGCCTGGGCGATAGAGTGAGACTCTGTCTCAAGAAAAGGTTGAATAAGATTGGTTAAAAGACATTTCATGGACTGGTTAATCATCTACTCAGGAGAAATAAAATGGGAAAAATAGGATTTATCTAAGATTAAAATTACGATAAATGTATACAGTTTTCTAAGAATCATAAAAAGTAAGATTTTTATTAAAATTCATGTTAAGAGCTAGTTTCTTTGAGTATACTTTTTATAATAATTTTAAATTTATTGTTTGTTTTAATAGTATGGAACCACCCCTTTAGTTTGGGCTGCACGAAAGGGTCATTTGGAATGTGTGAAACATTTACTGGCCATGGGAGCTGATGTGGATCAAGAAGGAGCTGTAAGTATCTTATATTTTCATGCTTGGCCATAGAAACATGTTTTTTATTTTGGAGAGAATTTATGTCTTTAGTATATGCCTAGAGAAATTTCCCTCTAGTTCTAAAATGATAGTAACAGGAAAACAAGCATTTTCTGTTACCCTAAGTATGTTATATTATAAACATATATGCTATAAATAGATGCTTTTAAGGATCTGTTGCTAATGCACACACAATTGGGGAGGCTAAAAGTATAAAGAACAGCTTTCAGTAATCCTAGTGTGATATATAGAGAGTTATGTGTCGCTTAATGACAGGGGTACATTCAGAGAAATGTGTCCTTCGGTGATTCTGCCACTGTGGGAGCATCACAGAGTGCACTTACACACATCTGGCTGGTGTAGCCTACTCCGTACCTAGGCTCTGTGGTATGGCCTGTTGCTTCTAGGCTGTAGCCTGTGCAGTGTGTTACTGTACTGAGTACTGTAGGCAGTTGTGAGACAATGGTTATTTCTTTATCTAAACATACCTAAACACAGAAAAAGTACAATGAAAGTCCAGTATCATAATCTTACGGAACTTCTGTCATATATGCCGTCTGTCATTGATCAAAATGTGCTGTGCATGACTATTTTGGTGTTTGTCCATGGTTCCTGGCTGACTGCTCCTATAACCTATGTAATATCATAAGTGACTACAGCAGTAAGAGTGTCTTTGGTTATATTTGGCCTTTTGTCCTTGGTTCTTGAAACAGCTCTGGTTCAGTTCTAGAGTGATAAAGATGAAATACAGTCTTTTGTTACTTATCACAAGCCCCTTTTAACCACACTTGAGCTTGTGTTAATGAGATTATTTTTGGAAAATTTCTAGATAACCCCACTGGTTGAGGTGCTGGTTGCCAGGTACACCAACCATGTGCTTAGAGGGTTGGAACTCACAGCCCTAACCCAACACCTCTGGGGAGGGGAGAGGAGCTGAAGGTTGCATTGATCATCATTGACCAATGATTTAATAAATCATGCCTTCATAATGAAGCCTACATAAAAACCCAAAAGGACTGAGTTCAGGGGGCTTCCAGGAAGATGACCAAGAGCACATCCCTGTACTGGGAGGGTGGCATACCACAACTCCGTGGGGACAGAAGCTCTTGTACTCAGGACCCTTTCAGACCTCATCCTATGTATGTCTTCATCTGCCTGCTCATTTCTATCCTTTAAAATATCCCTTTTGGAAACTGGTGAATATTGCTTCCCTGAACTGTGTGAACTGCTCTAGCAAATTAATCAAACCCAAGGAGGGGATTGTGGGAGTTCTGATTTATAGCCAGTCAGTCAAACAACCTGAGCTTTCATTGGCATGGGAAGCGGGGGCAGTCTTGGGCACCGAGCACTTGCCTGTGGGGTCTGATGCTATCTCCAGGTAGGTAGTGTCAGAATTGAGTTGGAGAATACCCAGCTGATGTCCGCTGCAGAACTGATTGCTTGCTTGATGGGTGGGGAAAAACCCCACGCATCTGATCATAGAAGTATTTAGTGTTGTAAGAATTTATGTGAAATGGAGTTTGTTTTTTCCTGTACGTAGTACAAATTGTTTAATAAACTGTTCAAATCAAATGGTTTTTAATATTGTGGAAAAATATTGTGCTGCATTAAAATATTTTTTCTTAAAAAATTTAAAATAATATTGTAATTTTGGGGATATTTTTAGCTGTGCCTTATTTTCCCTCTTCAATGAACAGATTTTAAAAAATCAGAAATCAGCTGATAGAACCCAGAAAGCTTAAAAACTGGTTAGATACATCTTACCGATTAGCGGTTTTTAATTCCTCGTTCCCCAGCCTGTGCCAGTTGTGTTGGGGAGATGAAGAAGCCTAATATCGCTTTTCCCTTGAGCCTATAAGAATATGGTTAAAGGAAGCAATATTTATGCATAAGAACAATTAAAATAATGCAGACAGCTATTTATAGAATTAGTATATTACGTGAGTGGATCGTAAAGGATTCTGAGAGGAGATAGTACCGGATCTTGGGTCGTAGTGAAACAAGAGTAAACTCTTTCTGTCATACTTTGTGGCACACTGTCAGCCCGTTCCTCCTGTTTGCATACTGGTAGGAGCTGACTCATTGCCAGTCTTCAAGGTGTAGACCCTGTTTTCGTGCTGGTGGAGGCAGCATGGTCCGTAGGCAGCTGCAGATGCTGTACCTTCCATCTGCCTCCTCCGGACAGTTGGTCAAGTGAGCAAGTGGCTTGTTTCTATGATGATTGATGGCTCAAGAATTTGAAAGGCTGTGTTATTTTAATATGTGGGAAAATGACAGCTTAATTTTGGGGGCTGACCTAAAATATTTCTATAAGGAAATTGTATGACAGCTTGAAGTAGATGAACATCTCGAGAAGCAATTTTAATACTACTTCTGGTAGCGAGTCACATTCTTCTCTTAGTTGATTTATTGTTTGTTTATTTAGAGACAGAGTCTCATATGTTGCCTAGGCTGGTCTTGAACTCCTGGCCTCAAATGATTCTCCTGCCTTGGCCTCCTAAAGCTTTGAGATTATAGGTGTGGGCCATCATACCTGGCCTGATTTATTGTTATAAAATAGATGTACAGTTTTTACAATAATTACTTAAAATAAGAGGTTTTGAAAATGTAGTTTCTAGATCACTATGAAAGTCAAAGAGTATATTACACTTTTCTTGAAATAGCTTATGGCTATTAATTCATTGTTGACTTTAGTGTTTTTTATGGGTTTTATTACAAAGAATTCTTGAAGTCTGATTCACCTGACTTTGGATTATTTAATTTAGAATGTGTTTAGTCACCCTGTCACTATTTTATCCGTCATTACATTAGTGAGTTTGTTTGTTGATTGTAAATGAATCCAATTTCAGATTATCATTTAAATAACTGAACTTCATAATAGCACTAATGACTGAAGATCATTAATGTATTTTCAAAAACAAAAGATACCTCCTAGCCATTTTTGGTATGTTTCTTGCTATTTATTTTGGCATTTTATTATTGGAAATGACAATAATAGGCCACCTATTTGAAAACATTAGTTTTGTGATTATGGCATAAATCATATATTTTCTAGAATACACTTAATTTCTTGGGCTTGTATTTTGTTTTGTTTTTGTTGTTGTTGTTTTTAGAATTCAATGACCGCACTGATTGTGGCAGTGAAAGGAGGCTACACACAGTCAGTAAAAGAAATTTTGAAGAGGAATCCAAATGTAAACTTAACAGATAAAGACGGAAATACAGCTTTGATGATTGCATCAAAGGAGGGACATACGGAGATTGTGCAGGATCTGCTAGATGCTGGAACATATGTGAACATACCTGACAGGGTAGGTCACCTGTTTCATATTTGTCTCCTAGTGGCGAAGTGGATGAAAGATGACCCTAGTGTCTTACTACCTTTCAAAATTCTCATGCATCACATAAACTTGTTTTAAGACAAGTTTATTTCTGCCTTTGAAACTAGTAAGTTAAAAACTGTTTGATCGTTCTGAAAAATATGCTTTTTAATTTTTGTCAAATAATGTTGTTATCGAAAATGTCACATGTACTATTAGTCTGTAACTGACCTTGATGTGTCACTGTAGATGTGCTTTCTTGTGCCCTAACTTCTCTGCGCTCACATTTACTGATCCACCTCTACCTGAACTCTCCACTTGAATGTCTAATTGGCCTCTTAAACTTACAGCAAAACAGATGCCTTGTTTTTTCACCCCAAACCTGCTTTTCCCTCATTCTCTGTCTCAGCAAGTGGTACCACCATTCCCCTCTTGTTGAAGCCCCAAATCCTGTGCCTTAGCCTTGATTTCTCTCTTTTCCTCATCTGCTCTCTAGCAGGCTCTTGTTGACTTTACTCCAAAACAAATCCTTTATCTGTCCACCTGTCTTCATTCCACTATCACCTCCCAGCTGAAGCCACTGTCTCTGGTGGTGCTACTGTTAAAGCAGCAGCTTTGCAACTGGGTTCTCCACTCTAATCTTGGAGTGATCTTTAAAACAATAAATCTCGTGTGTACTTCTTTGTTTAAAGCCATCCAAGACTTCCTGTTGCACTGAGGATGAATGTTATCTTTTTAGTTTATAGACATGACATGACATTGTTTTTGCCTAAGCTGTCTCCCAACTTTGTACCCCTCTTCTGCCAGTTTTCATAGCCTGCAGCTGTGTTTGCTTCTTTCCCTTTCTTGAATGCCCTGAGCTTGTTCCTGCTGTGGGTCCTTTGCCACGCCTATGCTCTTAGTCTGGAACGCTGATCTTGTGGTTGGCTCCTTCTTGTCCTTCCCACCTGGGCTTCAATGTTACCTCCTTGGAAGGGTCTTCAACTACTCAATCCAAAGTAGCTACCTCATCACTTTTTTTGAGACAGGATCTTGTTCTTTTACGCAGGCTGGAGTGCAATGGTGTGATCACAGCTCACTGTGGCCTCAACTTCCTAGACTCAAGCGATCCTCCTTGCCTCAGCCTCCCAAGTAGCTGGGACTATAGGTGCATGCCACCACGCCTGGCTAATTCTTGTTTTGAGAGACAGGGTCTCACTATGTTGACCAGGCTGGTCTCGAACTCCTGGCCTCTAGTGATTCTCCTGCCTTGGCCTCTCAAAGAGGTAAGATTACAGGCATAGGCCATCATGCCCAGCCTACCTGGTAGTCACTTTCTAGAACATTACCTTATTTTATTTGCATAGTGTTTGTGTGATTTTTTTGTTTATTGTATGTTGTCTTCTCTGCCAGGCTATAAATTCTTCCAGAGGTAGGACCCTGTCTGTCTTGTTTCCTAGTACTTAGAAAGGCGGATGGCACATTTAGAGGTTTACTAGTCTGCACCCATGTTAATGCTAATGTTTCCAACTAAAATTTGTCTGCCTTAGGTTTATTTCTGCTATAAATGTGGTAGTTAAGACACTACATCATGGTGCTGAGCTTAATAACCCCTAAGGACCTGCATCCTGATTTATATCATAGTACTTTTGAGGTCCACTCAGGATTGAATTGAGCTGCAACTCGTGGGCTCATTCAACTCAAAAGACTACAACTGATTTTTAAGTTAGCAGTAAATAATAAAATATTTATGCCCATTTCCAAAATAGCTGTTTCCAGTATTTTAAGTATAGGAAGGTATAACTAAAAATGATTGTTGCTTGGTGAATATAGTTCCTGGGGAGAGCGATGTCCTCATGAGGTCGTGAACTTAGTCTTATGCTGGGGAATGAGTCAGTCCTGATGCACTACTGGCCTGTAACTGCCAAATCCACTAGGTTTTCATAGATGCTGCTCGGGGAACTGTCTCCCTTAATTAAATGTGGCTGTGGATTCATTGATAGTTTTAGCTTTATAGCTTCGTTTTTTAGAGTTCATGGCTTTCGTCGTATAGCATTATTCCAAGAGATTTTTACTATGTGATTTTAAAATGTTCATCTGGTTCACTGACAGCCACAGTGTTATTGTAGTTCATTTACATGTGTAACAGGCGGTTACCTTCAAAGAGAATAGGTTATTGTTCTGGGTAACAGGTCTTTCTAAACTTTGTTTAGGAATTTCAGTCCTCATTTTGGGGCATAAAATCCTCTGTCCCTTACTCTGATGTCTGTTAATATCAGGTATTCATATTGGTTAAGTAATATTTTTCTCTTATTTAGAGATAGACTTTTTCCAAGAAATTTTTAGAAAAAAATATGAAAACATGATTAATTTGAACTTCAGAAGAGTGCTTATTTGTTGTCAATTCACTTTTTTTTTTTTTTCTGTCTTCTTAGAGTGGGGATACTGTATTGATTGGCGCTGTCAGAGGTGGTCATGTTGAAATTGTTCGAGCGCTTCTCCAAAAATACGCTGATATAGACATTAGAGGACAGGTATGTGTGATTACAGTGCAGTTGCTATCTTAGAGTATAATTGGATGTAAATGTTGACTGATCATAATGTTATTCTTCCCACTTTCCTATGGAGATAAACTTGTAAACCCTAGTACGTTTAACAGGCGTATATTATTACTAAATTTCACTGCCATTATTGTAAAATTTCTATATTAATGTCGAGTTAAATGTAGATAGAGGTAAACCAAAAAAGCTCATGTTTTTAGAATATACTGTCCTTACTAATGTGTATATATAAATTCAGTCCTCAAAACTATAATGCGTAGTTAGTGATACTGAGAGAGTCAGTGGCCCTTTGAATATCTGGTACTTACTTATTTTCTTTAATGTTTTCTCCCTGTTTTGTCTTCTTCCTCCATCTGCTGTTCTTCTATTGTTGTTGTTTTATTTTCTTCTCCTTTTTCTCCACTGTGCCTGCCTTTCCTAGGACCACTTGGTAGTCCTATGGACATTGCTTAAGGCAATCATAGTTCATAGAACCACAAAGGTTATTAATTTTAGATAAAAGCCTTGCCCACAGTTGTGAATTTATCAAATACTTCACGAGCTTTAGACTTTAGAAAAAGTTCTTGGTGTCTCATTTTGTTGTTGGACAGTATACATTCTGCTCATTTTTTTCTTGTATTTGGCCAAAAATCTCTTGTATCCAAATCCATTTTTGGATCAAACTATAACCATTATGCCAAATGTTATGGGGGAATTAACAAGGGCCCCTTGTCTTTAAGACACATATATTTTAATTTGAAAGATTTTAGTTTGTTTATTTTTATGCTTTTATTTAACATAAAAAGTGAAGCCACAAGATGATATATGATTGATTGCTTAGCATAAGGTTCAAGTATGAGTCTTGAGGTGGGGAAAGAAGGCCTTAAGGTCAGGGGCTTTGGAAGAAGGTAGAACTCGAGCTAAGTTTGAAGATGAGTTGGATTTAGATAGGTGAAGAGCCTGGCCGGGTGGCTGATGCCTGTAATCCCAGGCTGAGGTGGGAAGATCTCTTGAGCCCAGGAGTTTGAGGTTATAGTGAGCTGTGACCATGCCACTGCACTCCAGTCTGGGTGACAGAGTAAGACCTTTTCTCTTAAAAAAAAAAGAAAAAAGAAAAAAGAAAAGGAAAGCCAGGTGTTTCAGGCAAGGGGAGTGGTAATAGGATGAGAAAATTAGAAAGTGAAAGACTGCATTTCATAGCTGGCGAATGAATCATTTGGCATTGGGCAGTGGGGAGGTAGGCATGGTGGGGAAAGGTGGAGAAATGAAATGGGAAGGGAGGTAGGGCCTGACAAGTTTGAGTTGGGCAGCTAGTGTGCATTTTTTAGAAGAGAAACACTGTTGGGGAAATTTTGGTATTAGGAACTTAATGTGGCTGCTGCAAAAAGTCATTCATTATCTCCTGGGTTAAAATAACATTGCCGCTAAAAGTTGGATTCTAGGTCACCTATTTGGACTTTTACCTAACTACCTTTCGTCTGGGAGTCCTCTTCTGTGTTTGAATTTGGTTTTGTTGTTCTCTAGTTCTACTTTCAAGGTCTATATGGATTGATTTTTGGGTTTGAGCTAGATAAGATTTTAAAGATCTCATCAAGGCAATATAGGGGTATGGGATGGATGGAAATTAAGAAAGCTAAAAATGATAATGCCTTATATTTGTGAAGTACATTTTCGTGCATTATCTTTTGAAAAATTGGGCAATACCTACAGCATGTTACAGATGAAAATCTAAGGGTCCAAGACTTGTCCAAGTTTACGGAGTGCAGGTATTGATGACTCCTAATCCAGTGTGTGTTCCTGAAATCTGATAACATTACAAAAGTATAGTTTACTTTATTAACTATGTGGGATTACTACTTTTTAGATTAAGTAATATGAAGTTTTCCTAGACTTCTTTCACAAAGAATTCCCAAAAGTAACTTCAAGATAGCATAAGGATTAATAGCACTTCCTACCATGCTGCCTGTTGGAATGCTTTCTGACAGAAATGATGCTTTGTATTTACAAGTGACAGCTTTAAATATTGTATCTTACATGAAGTGATTGTGTTTTTTTCATTATCTAGGACAATAAAACTGCTTTGTATTGGGCTGTTGAGAAAGGAAATGCAACAATGGTGAGAGATATCTTACAGTGCAATCCTGACACTGAAATATGCACCAAGGTATAAGTGGCATTTCTATTCTGTTATTAGCAGCACCTCATGCTGAATGTTAGTACTGCTCATTTTATTTCAGTCGTCTTTGTTTGATGTTAGAGTTACACTGATTTTACTGGTAATATTCCCTGTCAAATTGAGGAGTAACTTTGTATCCTTGCAGGATTTGTGTATTCATAGCAAAATATAGTGTGATATTTGTTATTTCAATTAAATACTTTTCAGAAAGTGCAATATCAGCTATTCATAAGTTGTTATTATTTGGACAGATCATTTCCGCCAAATTCATTTATGCTGCTGTTACCTGAGAGGCAGAACACATTCCTTTGTGGGGAGATTGCGTGTGCTCAGGAGTTCCAGGCCAGCCTGGGCAATAGAGTGAGACCCTGTCTCTTTAAATGAATATGTAAACAACCATTGTGACTGGTGGTTGGTTCCCTACACTAGCCACTTTCAACTATTTTACTCAAATCATGTAAAAAATACAAAATTATCTAATACTGTGGTCTCCTGTTTAGCCTATGTGTAATAGTTTTCTATGGGGAAAATATATTTGGAATTCTGGGTTGATATGACAGGAATTCTTAATGAATAAAGCAAAATTATAGAGTCACCCATAAGACAATCCCATGTCATCTGCTGTAGATCAGGACCAGCCAATTTCTAACTCAATGATGGTACTTCTAGTACCTCAGGGTAGAAAATTTCTGAGATACCTTCTGGTTTGCAGGTGGCTCCTTAATCCTCTTTTTTCTTTTTCTTTTGGACCTTGGTGTCAGCCAGGGTGACTACCTGTGGCTTCTGATGAGATTTTTGTCTAACTAAGTGCTGAATTGTGGTCTCTTCTTGCTTCCCTTCCTTTGGTTTTGAAAGCAATCATGAACTTTTTTGAGGTTTTCTGAAGGCATACTGCTTGTTTCAAAGGTTTCACTGAGAACTGAAGTGATATTGGTATACATTTCTGAAAAACTCTGGACACTGGCTTACCTGGATGTTGACAGGCTGGGCTATGGGTTGGCTGGTGGGGAGAACGGGAAGTAGCCTCTGGAGGGGAGCTGCCCCAGGTCAGTGGTAGAACCTGGGGAAGGGCAGAAGCAGCCACTGCTGCCGGCTGTAGCTTACGAGCAGGTGGGGCAGGTCCCACACCTGGCTACGTGATTTAAAGTCACTTTGATACAAATGAGTGGTTGTAAAGGAAAAACATTTTTTTGTTGTTTGCTTTTATGTTTTCTTGAGGGGGTTTTAAATATAGACTGTTACCAGAGTCAGATATTTCTTGACATGTGCATTTGTATGACATAAACACAGGAGTCAAACTATTAATCTGGCAAATGTTCTTATTTGTGCCCACAGGATGGTGAGACGCCACTTATAAAGGCTACCAAGATGAGAAATATTGAAGTGGTGGAGCTGCTACTAGATAAAGGCGCGAAAGTGTCTGCTGTAGATAAGGTGAAACATCTGTGCAGAGAGAACACTGTATGGACAGCTGTTGGTAGACTGACCTCTGTATGGAGGGGATTTAATGGGGATCTGATTTTAGGTTGTGTGGGGAGAGATGACTTGCTGGGGATGTCTGTGTGGGATTTGGATCCCACACAGTAGCACGCTGAGGAGTGGGCAGGCTCAGTGTGCTGTTAATGCAGCTGCTTCCCATTTTCCTTCTATGGCTCACAGCAGCTGTGGGGCACTGCCATTGACCACCACATGAGGAGGAGGCTCCGCCTTCATCAGGGTAGAGCTTGTTGCAGATAAACAGGAGGAAAGAATGCACAGGGGCTGGAGGAGGCCGACTCTCAAAGCAGACGGCATTAATGTTCACTGACAGGAGATAATGTGTTTGTTCTGCTGCATGTCCTTGCTTTAGCCTTTTAGAGAAATTTTTGTATTTTCTATAATAAGTTTAGCTCTAAGTGACTTAATACTTCATATGGATTTGATTTTTCATTTTAGTTTCTTTTTGTTTTAAACAAGCTTATTTCTTTCTGTACTTTAAACTGATTTTCCCCCAGAGTAAACTAATTGATGTATGAAGTAAGAAATAATATTGTAAATTTTCTCCTCTGATGAATAATATGATTAGGGCTTTACTAATTAATAACAGATTGAAGTTTGTTTTTCTGTTAGTTATAAGGCAGTTAAACAAAAACAGAGAGTCAAGAATCAATGCATTTGTGTTTCATTTTGCTAAGTTACAATATTATTTTAAAACATGAAAGCACCTCCCTGTCATTACCATATTAACATAATGTCATATCAAAGAAAGGAAACTTTAATATTAAAGATTAGAAGATATAAAGTCAAAGAAGAGTTTTCAAAATGGAGTATGTGTAGCTTTCTAGAAAATTTCTTATAATGCCTGTTTTTCTCAATCTGCCATTGACTTATCTGACACTGGTCCCCCAATTTGCGATATAGAACCACCAGACTCTTCAAGGTTCCATATAGCCTTGTTAATTATATAATATGCTATTTTAAGTAATTGCTTTATACTAATTCATAAGTTTCTTGAAGGCCTCTGCCTTGGTATTCTTTTGTGTGTTGCTGTGCCCAGAGTCAGCACATGATACTTGTTGACAAATACACATGATAGTTGGAACAGTTGTTCATTCATGAACACATCTTACTGAGGATGGGTAAAGTACTATCCTGCTAGAATTTGGGATACACACTTATGAAAGTCTTGAACCTGGATCTTCATAGAGAATTTCATAAAAACAATTTTAAAAGTGTGATTAATGTTATTTTTACCTTGCCCATCACTGCTTTCTGATTATTTTCAGCCTGTCAGCCAAGTGTGCTGATATCCTCCCTGCATTTATAGAATTTTTTTATCTGGCAGAAATGCTGCTGCTGCTGTTTTGTCTTCTCACAGGTTTGGGGATGAGAATTAGAATTGAGATGTGAAAATAAGATGAAATTGGGTTTGGATATGTTTAGTTTGAGGGCTGATAAGACATTCAGTCGTCTGTGGCCAGTAGACATTGGGAAATCTAGTATTGGAATCTGGGCAAGAAGTCAAGGCCGGTGATGGAAATTTGGCAGTTAGTTACTAGGATAGAGAGTTGCATGGGAGTGACTAAGATGATCAGTGTGAAGAAAGATGAAAGCTGCAGTCAAAAATGGACTTCTCTTATGCTGTGTGTCATACTGCAGTTTTTAAATTGTGCATGTTTATTCGGTCTCTTCCTATTACAACATAAGCTACTTAAGGTCAGCAACTGTTTTGTCTTTCATCTTTATATCCTCTAAAGTACAAAGCACAGAACCTTGCGTATAGTGAACTTCGTGCATAGTTATGGTGCCACACTTTTTAGGACATGGGAGGAGAGTCTAGAAGATGAAAAGATCAAGATAAGGTCGTGCCTTGGAAGCCACAGGAAGAATGTGTAGGTCATTTTCATTTAGTGTCCTGGAGATCAGTGTGGATGAGAACCAATAATTTAATTTGTTAAGGTGTTTGTGAAGCAACCAGTAGGAGAGCACTTTGCAGCCCGAAGAGGGCTTTTGAAATTTACATGTTAGCTTTCATTTAGTGTTGGATGTGAACACTCATGTGATTGGAGATCCTAATATGGAGAGAAGGTGGGTTGATAGGGAAAAGTGAAAGGTGAGGAGAGTGGAAAGGTGAGGAGAATGGAAGAGTTGAGGAGAGAGTTGGAGGAGGATAGCTGTACCTAGAGGACTCAGGTTGAGAATGTAGAGTGATGAGATTTAAGGGTTCACTGTGGCAAATGGTTGACAAAGGTTACTGGAGCTGGCAAGATTACTTGTGTTAGATGGCTATCAGCATGGATTGTAAGGCTTTCTAGACAAATGAAGAGAGCTGTGAAATAGAATTTAAATTAGTTGAGGAAGGTAGCTGACATCCTTGGACAGTAAATATTGGATGATGGAGGGATACAAATGAAGTGGACCCAAGGCCTAGGAGGAGCTACAGGGAGAAAGCCTGTTGCTTCTCCTCTTTCACTGAGTTAAGGGAAGGAGAAAAGAATGACCTTCATTCTAGAGGGCTGTGGGAGAAATCATATCTGAGCAAAGCTGGGTGAGGAGCTACAGAAAGAAATTATGGGGAAGATAGAGATAAAAATTCATATTATATATGTGCTTTATGTGAAAAATAAGAAAAGTTCAGAGTTTATTTTACAGAAACATGGATGTTGTTACTCTGCACACTGTATACAAAGATAAGAACGTTCAAGCTTCCTACTATTATTTCACAGAAAGGAGATACTCCCTTGCATATTGCTATTCGTGGAAGGAGCCGGAAACTGGCAGAACTGCTTTTAAGAAATCCCAAAGATGGGCGATTACTTTATAGGCCCAACAAAGCAGGCGAGACTCCTTACAATATTGACTGTAGCCATCAGAAGAGTATTTTAACTCAAATATTTGGAGCCAGTAAGTATTGAGTTTTTCTCTGAACTGAGATTTTAAATAATGAATGTTCCATTAAAAAGTATGGAAAATAAGGCCAGGCATGGTGACTCATGCCTGTAATCCCAGCACTTGAGGAGGCCGAGGCAGGAGGATTGCCTGAGCGCAGGAGTTTGAGACAAGCCTGGGCGGTACAGTGAGGCCTCATCTCTACAAAAAATTTAAAAAAGAGCTGAGTGTGGTGGTGTGCCTGTAGTCCTAGCTTCTTGGGAGGCTGAGGTGGGAGGATCTCTTGAGCCAGGGAGATGGAGATTGCTGTAAGCCAAGATCGTACCACTACACTGGGTCTCCCTCTGTTGCCCAGGCTGGAGTACAGTGATGCAGTCATAGCTCACGGCAACCTCAAATTCCTGGGCTCAAGCGATCCTCCCACCTCAGCCTCCTGAGTACTTGGAACTACAGGCCCATGCCACCACACCCAGCTAATTTTTTATTTTTTTTTGTAGAGACGAGGTCTTGCCATGTTCCCTAGTCTGGGGCCAAGCGATCCTCCCACCTTGGCCTCCCAAAGTGCTGGGATTACAGACATGAGCCACTGTGCCTGGCCATGATTCTATTTTTTTAAGATTTTTGTATTTTAAAATATTTTTTCTTATTATAATAGTAATGTGCACTAATTACATTTCAGGAATGAAAATGTAAGTATAGCAGAAAGTGAAAATTCCCCATTATCCCCTATCTCCCAACTTGTAATTGTTTAAATGACCCTCCAGGCTTTTCTTTATGCTTATAAAAATGTTATATACTATATAGTTTTAAAAAATAAAAATTGAGTTATACTATGTTACAAAAGCTTAACGTATCATATTTTATTGCATAATTTTTCATCATAGTACATTGAGTTCTCTGTTGGTGAATATTTAGTTTTGCTAACAATTAGTGCTGCAGCGAACACCTTTGTACATATATTCGTTGACTCTTATTTCTAGGATTTTTTTTCTTTCTTTTGAAAATAGTATTAGAGATTCAGGGGGTACAATTAGGATTATTTTCTTAGGGTAAATTCCCACAAGTAGAATTCCTAAGTCAATGGATGCCAGTAGTTTCGATACACTTTCCAAAATGGTTGTAAAAATTTCTTCTCCCTCTGGCAGTGTAAGATACCACAATTCCCCACAAGTTTGCTAGCACTGGGTATTTCCAGCCTCTTACTCTTTGCAAATCAGATAAATAAGAAAAAAAAATCTAATTTCAATTTGTGTTTTAAAATTATTAGTGAAATTGAGATCTTGTAATATATTTACAGGCTATTGCTTCTGAGCCTTTTGGCTTAGATAATATGTAATATATTCATAGGCTACTTGTATTCTTGCCAGTTTCCTTTTAGTATCCTTTGTCCACTTTTTAGTTTTCAATATTAAAAAAAAATTGATGTAAGAGTCTTTCTGTGTTATGGATATTGATCCTGGGTGTGTCCTATGTGCTGCATTCCCCTCTCCTCAGCATACTCTTGGTTGATGGTCATGGATTTTTATTCCGCATTCAAAAGTTTTACATTTTTGTAGTTAATTCATTAGTCTTTTCCTGCAGTTCTGGCCTTAGTATTACATTGAGAAAGAAAAGCCTTTTTAAACAAAGATTTTTAAAGTTTCTCCTGTATTTTCTTCTATTACTTCTATGGTTTTACTTTTTTCTACTTAATTTTTTAATGTTTCAGAAAATTTTGTTAAGGCTATGAGGTATGTAGCATTTTAATTTAATTTTTTTCATGAATGATTAAACTTTCCCAACACCACTTACTAATTCATCCTTTCCTGCCTTATTTGAAATGCCACTTATGTTAATATCCTATATGAGTTCCAGAATGTTCAAATTATTGTTTTACATTTTTATTCTCCAGTGACAACTACCCTTCAGTAGTCTTTATTATTTTTTTCCTGTTCTTACATGTTCTTCTTTCCTTTCAATTAAAACAAAATTCTCATGGGTTTTTAATTAGAACTACCTTGAAGTGACAGAATAATTTGGGAGAATTGCTGAACCTTTCTGCTTGGAATCATAGAATGTTTCTTTTTCTCTTATCTATTATGCTCTTCAGTAACATTTTGTAACTTTCTTTGTATAGGTATTACACATATTAAATTTATTTTACATACTCATTTGTGTTAATCATCATATGTTACTGATTCTGAAATGCACACTGTTCCCATAATTTAACATCTCTGAAATTGGTATGTGTCTTGTAAGTGATGGACAAGAAAGCATGATGTCACAATTTGGCAGCATTTTGTTCTTTCTTAGTTATATATAAAAAGATGTATCTCATAATTAATAGGTATCTTAAGTTCTATGAAATATGATAGTAATTTAAGAATCTCTGAAACTTTTTTTTTTTAATTTTAAATCAGGTAGCCTTCCAAGTCAGAGTAGGCTCAGAGACTCCCTGAAACTGTCTTTACATGGTTATAAACATTTGAAATAATTTTTTCCTTTCTAATCAAGTAAACAATAAATGAAAATAGTGTTCCTTTCTAATAGTAATTCCACTGTTTAACGTAAGATATGATGTGTTTTAATTACAGGACACTTGTCTCCTACTGAAACAGATGGTGACATGCTTGGGTATGATTTATATAGCAGTGCCCTAGCAGATATTCTCAGTGAGCCGACCATGCAGCCACCTATTTGTGTGGGGTTATATGCACAGTGGGGAAGTGGGAAATCTTTCTTACTCAAGAAACTAGAAGGTAAAGAGCTTGCTTATACAAAGTCTCTATATGTAAAACAAGGTTTTCTCTGGGGATTTTTCTGAAATAAAGAGGAAGACCGCTTTCTGTATGAGCATGTGTGTTACACGGTTTACTGAGATGAACTCCCCTCTGATTGGTCCTTCACATGGCCATTTGAGTTCTCTTTCTAAAGCAGATCCATTTGTGTGATAAACCTACATAAAAACCCTTGCTGGCAGGTTTTTTTGGGCCCTTCACAGACTTGTCAGTTTGCATGGTCCCACCTGCCAGTACCACCTCTGGCATGTGCCCCAGCTTCAGTCACAGAGGACTGTTTGCTCTTGCAAGAACAGACCAGACGTGTTTCCCAGGTTGCTACCTCTATAAGCAGCTTCTTAGCTGGCCTCACTACCACCCACCTAACACGTATGCCTTTTGCTTGGCAAAATCTTGCTCGTTCTTCAAGGATAGGTTTCAGTATTGCCTGTAAAAATTTCCCAGAGTTTTGTACAAAGAATAACTTGTATGGGGCTCCTTTGGGCTCAACATGTACCTTTAAGCACAGTATTCTCAATTGTGATTGGAGGGAGAAGGGATGAGGACGATCTCAGTGGAATGGTGGTGACATGTAGTTTGAAGATACAGAGTATTATTTTTGCATGTGGAAACAATATGCATATGCGTAATGTTTGTGTTAATGCAAACCACAAAAAATCTCAAGAAAATCTTGACAGGTGGGAGTATATGAGAAGGGATTTCGTACATCCTCCACGTGAAGCAGGAGAGGGTGGTGATTCAGGCCTAGCTGTGGTCCTGGCGGTGAGATGTTCATCTTGGCAAGAGAACACTGGTTAAAATGGTTAAGTAGCAGTATTCTATCTAGGGACCTAGTAAAGTGCCCAATAAATGTTTACATTGAAAATGTGAAAACTGCAAATCGTGTTAAAAGTTGTGTTTCTTAAACAGGAATAAGGTTTCATACTAAATTATCTTTCAGATGAAATGAAAACCTTCGCCGGACAACAGATTGAGCCTCTCTTTCAGTTCTCGTGGCTCATAGTGTTTCTTACCCTGCTACTTTGTGGAGGGCTTGGTTTATTGTTTGCCTTCACGGTCCATCCGAATCTTGGAATAGCAGTGTCATTGAGCTTCTTGGCTCTCTTATATATATTCTTTAGTAAGTTTTTGCTTTTTATCTTTTTCAAAAATGGAGAAAATGTTAAGATTCATAGATAAAGAAAAAAACATTATCTGTCTTTGAAAACCTGTATGTGATTTTCACTAATAGGGTGAGAAAATTGACCTTTTTGCTACTTCATAAATTTTCCTAAAGAAACATTACTCACAACTTGGCGGAAGTAGCTTATAAACTAATGTACTACTTGTTAATCTTGAAGTAAGACCCTAGATTATTATACTTCCTTTAATTAATGATTTATATTTAAATCTTTTTTCTGAAAAGAGGGCTTCTGAGCCATCACGGCGTGCTCTTGAGCATTTTGACCATGTCTGTACTTTTAATTTTATCTAAAAGCAAAGTAAAAAAATATAATCCCTATTCTTGGGGGTGTCTTCAGTTGCAAGAAAAGAAATAGATTTACTGTAAGAGGAACTGATAACCAACTTTACCAGTTGCAAATAGTGATAAATCCAAAGTCATTTGCATTTGAATCTGAACTGCAGTTATGTTTCTGTTTAAGGCATATTTTAGTCAGTTTACTTTTCGTTTTTTGTATCTACTGTATCTTAGGGGAGGTTAATGGAATTCTTTGAGGAGTAGTTAGGAAATAGTATGGGACCATAGAAAGCTATGTAAGCTTAGCTGTCATTGCTTGATATTTGATCTTTGGAGAAAAGATCTGCTTGACTGATGACTGCTTTGGATAACTTTTTTAAACTGTGAATTTCAGTTGTCATTTACTTTGGTGGACGAAGAGAAGGAGAGAGTTGGAATTGGGCCTGGGTCCTCAGCACTAGATTGGCAAGACATATTGGATATTTGGAACTCCTCCTTAAATTGATGTTTGTGAATCCACCTGAGTTGCCAGAGCAGACTACTAAAGCTTTACCTGTGAGGTGAGTTGTTCCATTTGACAGAAGAAATCTTCAGTGAGATTCAGAAAAAAATATTTTTCACTTCAAAAAATTTATAGGGGCCGGGCGCGGTGACTCACCCTTGCAATCCCAGCACTTTGGGAGGCCGAGGTGGGCAGATCACCTGAGGTCAGGAGTTCGAGACCAGCCTGCCCAACATGGTGAAACCCCATCTCTACTAAAAATACAAAACTAGAGGGGGCATCATGGTGCATTCCTGTAATCCCAGCTACTTGGAAGGATGAAGCAGGAGAATCGCTTGAACCAGGGAGGCAGAGATTGCAGTGAGCCAGGATCGTGCCATTGCACTCCAGCCTGGGTGACAAGAACGAAACTCTGTCTCAAAAAAAAAGTTTATAGAGTATAATTTCTCAATGTATGTTCCAAAAAACATTGGTACCTGGAACCTTTTACATACAAAAATAAAAACATGCCCTGGTCAAATACTGTGGGAAACACTTCAGATTATGTGTCCCTCTTGTACGTTAAAGGATCAGAGGCACCTTTCCATAAAGAAAGCTGTTTAACCTTTATTTACCAAATTTTATTTGAGCATAAACCTTTTCTCCCTGTTATGTCACCTGTTACTGTCCTTTGGAACACACTTTGAAGAGAGCACTGGATGGAGGAAGGGTCCAGCCAATGGCCTTGGTTCCCAGAGAGCTCCTGGTTGGAGACCTGGCCCCTCCTTATGTGAGCAGTTAACCTGGGGAAACCCAGCTCCCCTCTCTGAGCTGTGCTTTTCTCAGCTCAGGAAATATATTCACATGTCTATCTAAAATTATTATTCATACTAAGTAGGAAATGTATGAGAAAACAGAAAAGATGAAAAATGTTTAAGTCCAGGAATAAAGGAAAGGTAGAGGACTCCAGAAGAAAGTAAAATGGAAAAAAAAAAAGAAAAAAAAGGCTAGAAAATTAAAAGCAAAAGAAAGTCAATGGAAGTAAGCAATGTAAGAATTTAAATAGTATTAAGGCCAGATGTGGTGGCTCACACCTGTAATCCCAGCACTGTGGGAGTCCGAAGCAGGCAATTGGTTGCACTCAGGAGTTCACAACAAGCCTGGGTAATGGCGAAACCCCATCTCTACAAAAAATAAAAAAATTAGCTGGGTGTGGTGGCCCGCCTGTAGTTCTAGCTACATGGGAGGCTGAAGCGGGAGGACTGCTTAAGCTTGGGAGGTTGAGGGTACAGTGAGCCAAGATCATGCCACTGCACTCCAGCCTGGGCGACAAAGGGAGACCCTGTCTCTAAATAAATAAAAAGCATTAAAAGATGAAACAATTTTAAATTATAAGAAAAAATAAGTGTAATTTAAGATGAAAATAAATAGGCCAAATCAGATAAAATATTAAAACTGAATATAAGAGAAAAATAAAGGTGAAAACTTTTAAGTAACTAGCATATAGAATTAAGTATTAAGAAAAGGATTTAAAAGTGAAAAAGTTAAAAGGAAAACAGAATAAAATAATTGGGAGAATGTTTTTACAGAAAATAAGGAAACCAGTCTAAATTAATGAGGTGGTATTTTTTTTTTCAGTTAGAACAATTAAAATAGCATCATCAAGACCACACAGTATAATGCAGATTGTATTCTGAGAGCAATGCTTATCTACTGGACTGAGATGAGAGTTTAATTTACAGATGGAAGGGAGAAAGGAACTAATACAGAAATAATAATGATTCAGAGACTTAGAATACAAATAATTCACTTAATTTTTAAGAACAATTGTGAAGAGAATACTTTACAACTATTTCTCAATCCCTGGCAGATGTTGAGGCTATAAATAAGCCTTTCTAAAACTTGAGTTTTTAAATGGTATTACTGGGCTTGAAATTCTTTAATGAATGTAATTACTATTTTTTCAGGGTTAGAGTCTCTTTCGTTGGTGTTAGAAAACTTTCTTTGTGCAACTCTTGGTGGTCACATCATGACACGGGTGTCACCTTTTAACCACTGTGTCATCAGGTCTGCTGGGGTGTCCGGTACTTCACATCTAAGTTCTGGCATAACTTTCCCCCGACTGTCCTTAGTCAGAATTACTTCATATGACTCTGCATATTTCACTTTTATTACTGTTTTTTTCCTAAGAAAAGTATGTAAGATTTTAGAAGTGGAAGCTACCTAATTACAAATTCTTTTCCCTCCTTGGAATTTAAAAAACAATATTTTGAAAGAGAAATAAAATAAAGGGTAAATGATGCAAAGATGACATATATACATTTAAGTTATTTGTTACTTTAGATACCAAAGTAATGTTTGATTTGTTCTTTTCTTCAAGGTTTTTGTTTACAGATTACAATAGACTGTCCAGTGTAGGTGGAGAAACTTCTCTGGCTGAAATGATTGCAACCCTCTCGGATGCTTGTGAAAGAGAGTTTGGCTTTTTGGCAACCAGGCTTTTTCGAGTATTCAAGACTGAAGATACTCAGGGTAGGATTTCTTTCCTTCCTTCTTTGTGTGTAAGGGGTTGGGGTGGGATGGATGTTCAATTTATTTTCATGAAACATACCTTGAACATTAGACTCATCAGGTACTGTGACTATAATGTTAGGATTTTCTAGATACTTGATATATTAGTAATCATTAAAACCATTTGTTGCATTACAGGTAAAAAGAAATGGAAAAAAACATGTTGTCTCCCATCTTTTGTCATCTTCCTTTTTATCATTGGCTGCATTATATCTGGAATTACTCTTCTGGCTATATTTAGAGTTGACCCAAAGCATCTGACTGTAAATGCTGTCCTCATATCAATCGCATCTATAGTGGGATTGGCCTTTGTGTTGAACTGTCGTACATGGTGGCAAGTGCTGGACTCCCTCCTGAATTCCCAAAGAAAGCGCCTCCATAATGCAGCCTCCAAACTGCACAAATTGAAAAGCGAAGGATTCATGAAAGTAAGCACCCACTGGTTATTAGAAACAATTGTAATGTGAATGTGCTGCCACTGCCATGCTCATTTGGGCTTTAGAAAGTATACTCTCTAAGTGTTAAAGTGTTGCATTTATTTTAGGTTAGTTAATTTGTTCATTCATTCATTCAAGACTATAATTTAAGGTAGTTTTAAGTTCACAGCAAAATTTAGAGGGAGGTGCAAAGATATCCCATATACCCACTTCCCCGACACATACAGAGCCTCCCCAGTTAGCACCATTACTACCAGAGCAGTACATTTGTTACAACTGACGAACTTAGGTTGACACATCATAATCACCCAGCATCCATAGTTTACGTTAGGGTTCACTCTTGGTGTGGTACATTCTATGGGCTTGGACAAATGTGTAACATGTATCCACCATTATAGTCTTATACAGAGTAGATTTATTGCCTTCAAAATCTTCTGTGCTTCACCTGTTCACACCTGTTCACCCTTCCCTCCACCCTCCTCCCTAATCCCTGGCTACCATTTCTTTTTCCTATCACCATAGTTTTGCCCTTTCCAGAATGTCATCTAGTTGAATCATACATGTGTAGTCTTTTCAGATTGGCTTCTTTCACATAGTCATATGCATTTAGTTTCCCTTTGTGTCTTTTCATGGCTTGCTAGCTCATTTCTTTTTAGCATGGCTAATATTCCATTGTCTGGATATATCACAGTTCATTTATACATTTACCTACTGAAGGACATCTTTATTGCTTCCAGGTTTTGGCAAGTATGAATAAAGCTGCTATAAACTTTTGTGTACAGGCTTTTGTATGAACATAAAGGAGTTGAAAACTCTTTGGGTAAATACCAAGGAGTGTGATTGCTAGCTTGTATGGTGTTTCGTTTTGTTAGAAACAACCAAACTGTCTTCCAAGGTGGCTGTACTATTTTGCATTCCCACCAGAAATGAATGAGGCTCCTGTTGCTCCACATCACATCCTCACCAGCGTTTGGTATTTTTGGTGTTCTGGATTTTGGCCATTCTGATAGGTGTGCAGTGGTATCTTATTGTTTGAATTTGCATTTCCCTGATGACACGTGTTGTGGAGCGTATTTTCATGTGCTTATTTGCTATCTGTATGTCTTCTTTGGTGAATTCGCTGTTAAAGTCTTTGGCTTATTTTTCAATCAGGTTGTTCATTTTCTTATTGTTGAGTTTTAAAAGTTCTTTGTATATTTTGGATAATGGTCCTTTATCAGACATGCTTTTTGCAAATATTTTTTCCCATTCTTTGGGTTGCTTTTCATTCACTTGACAGTGTCTTTTGCAGAGCAGACATTTTTTATGAAGTCTAGCTTATTAATTCTTTCTTTCATGGATCTTGCTGTGGTGTACTATCTAAAAAGTTAACACCAAACCTGTAGTCATCTAGATTTTATCCTCTGTTATTTTGTAGGTGTTTTATATTTTTACATTTAGGTCTGTGAGCTATTTTGAGTTAATTTTTGTGAAGTGTGAATGTGTCTAGATTCTCTTCTTTCTTGCTTTCTTGCTGGCTTCTTTGCTTCTTCTTCTGTTCTCTTCTCTTCTCTTTTCTTCTCTTCTCCTCTCTCTTCTCCTCTCCTCTCCTCTCTTCTCTTTCTCTACCCTTTCTTTTCTTTTTTTGTTTCCAGTTGTTCCAGAACCATTTGTTAAAAAGACTATTTCTTCCATTGTATTGCCTTTGCCGCTTGTCAAAGACCAATTGACTACATTTGTGTAGGTCTGTTTCTGGGCTCTCTTTTCTCTTTGTCTATTCATTTGCCCATACCACACTGTTTGATTACTCTAGCTTTATTTTCTTGAAGTTGGGTAGTGTCAGTCCTCCTATTTTGTTCTTCTCCTTCAATATTGTGATAGCTATTCTGGGTCTTTTTCTCCTCATAGGAACTTTTGATTCACCTTAAATAACTTGCTGGGATTTTCATTGAGATTGCATTAAATCTATAGGTCAAATATTGAGTCTTCCTATCCATGAACATGGAATATCTCCTCATTTATTTAGTTCTTCCTTGATTTCTTTCAAGAGTTTTGTAGTTTTCTCATATAGATCTTATACATATTTTGTTAGATTTATACCTATTTCATTTTTTGCAGTGTTAATATAGATAGTAATTGTGTTCTTAATTTCATGTTTGACTTGTTCATTGCTGATATATAGGAAAGTGATCAAATTTTGTATATTAATCTGAAACCTTGCTATAATTGTTAGTCCCAGGAGGTTTTTTTGTTGTTGATTCTTTCAGTTTTTCTACATAGAGAGTCAAGTCACCTGTGAACTAAGACAGTTTTCTTTCTTCCCAATCTTCATACCTTTTTTTTCCTTTGTTGTTGTTGTTGTTTGTTTTATTGCGTTAGTTAGGACTTCCAGTACTGTGTTGAAAAGGAGTGGTAAGAAAAGGGACATCCTTGCCTCGTTCCTGATCTTAGTATATGTTCTCATGTTCTCACCATTAAGTATGATGTTAACTATGGATATTCTTTATCAAGTTGAAGAAGTTTCTCTCTGTTTCTAGTTTACTGAGAGTTTCTACCATGAATGGGTGTTGGCTTTTTCTGTATCTATTTATATAATCATGTGATCTTTCTTCTTCAGTCTGTTTTTCTTTTTTTTGAGACTGAGTTTCACTCTTGTTGCCCAGGCTGGAGTGCAGGAGTGCAGTGGTGCCATCTCAGCTCACTACAACCTCCGCCTCCCGGGTTCAAGCGATTCTCCTGCCTCAGCCTCCCAAGTCGGTGAGATTACAGGAATGTACCACCACGCCCAGCTAATTTTGTATTTTTAGAAGAGACGAGGTTTCACCATGTTGATCAGGCTGGTCTCGAACTCCTGACCTCAGGCGACCCACCTTCCTTGGCCTCCCAAAGTGCTGGGATTACAGGTGTGAGCCATTGTGCCCAGCTTAGTCTGTTGATGTGATGGATTACATTAATTGATTTTTGAATGTGGAACCAGCCCTACCTACCTGGCATAAATCTCACTTGATTGTGGTGTATAATTCTTTTTATATATTTGCATATGATTTGCTAATACTTTGTTGAGGATTTTTGTATCTATGTCCATGAGATATTTATTGATCTGTAGTTTGCTTTTCTGGTCATGACTTTGGTTTTGGTATTAGGGTGATGCTGACTTCATAGAATGAGTTAGGAAGCATTCCCTTTGCTTCTGTCTTCTGAAAGATGCTATGTAGAGTTAGTATAATTTCTTCTGTAAGTGCTTGGTAGACTTCACTCATGAACCCTTCTGAGCCTGGTGCTTTCTGTTTTGAAAAATTATTATTGATGCAATTTCTTCAATAGATACAGGCCTGTTCTTATGAATTTTGGCAAATTATGTCTTTCAAAGAACTGGTCCGTTTATCTAAGTTATCAAATTTGTGGGCATAGAGTTGTTCGTGGTATCCCTTTATTATCCTATTTTTTCCATGAGGTCTAAAGTGATAACCTGTCTTTCATGTGCTGTTATTCTGAATTTGTGTTCCCTCTTCTTTCATCTTAGTTAGTCCAAGGCTTACTGGTTGTGTTTACCTTTTGACCTAACTAGCTTTTGGTTTCATTGTTTTATTTCTGTTTTAGTTTTTATTATTTCTTTTCTTCTGATTACTTTGGATTTAATTTGCTCTTCTTTTTCTGCTTTCCTGAGGTGGAAGCTTAGATTATTAATTTTATTTTATTTTTATTTATTTATTTTTTGAGATGGAATCTCACTCTGTTGCCCAGGCTGTAGTGCAGTGGTGCAGTCCCAGCTCACTGCAACCTCTGCCCCCTGGGCTCAAGGAATCCTCCCACCTCAGCCTGCTGAGTAGTTGGGACCACAGGCTACATGCCAGCACGCCTGGCTAATTTTTGTAGAGATAGGGTTTCATCGTGTTGCCCACACTGGTCTCGAACTCCTGAGCTCAAGTGCTCCACCCTGCTTGACCTCCCAAAGTGCTAGGATTACAGGCATGAGCCACTGCACCCAGCCAGATTATTGATATTATATCTTTATTCGTTACTAATACATGCATTCAGTGCTATACATTTTCTTCTTAGCAGTTCTTTTGCTGCATCCCACAAATTTTGATAAGTTGTGTTTCCATTTTTATTTAGTTCAAAATATTTTAAAAAATTTCTCTTGAGATTTTTTTTCTTTGAGCCATGTGTTATTTGGAAGTGTGTTTTAAAATCTGTACATGTTTTGGGATTTTCCAATTATCTTTCTGTTTTTGATTTCTAGTTTAATTCCACCGAGGGTAGACATTGTATGCATGATTTCTATTTTAAATTTGTTGCTGGGCGCGGTGGCTCACGCCTGTAATCCCAGCACTTTGGGAGGCCGAGGCAGGTGAATCATGAGGTCAGGAGATTGAGACCATCCTGGCCAACATGGTGAAAACCCGTCTCTACTAAAAATACAAAAAATTAGCCAGGCATGGTGGTGGGCGCCTGTAGCCCCAGCTACTTGGGAGGCCGAGGCAGGAGAATGGCGTGAACCCAGGAAGCGGAGCTTGTAGTGAGCCGAGATTGTGCCACTGCACTCCAGCCTGGGCGACAGAGCGAGACTCCGTCTCAAAAAAAAAAAAAAATTTTGTTATGGTGTGTTTTATGGCTCAGAATGTGGTCCATCTTGGTGAATGCTTTATGTGAATTATTTTTTTCTGGATGAAGTAACTGTAGATGTCTGTCATACCAAGTTGATTGATGGTGGTATTGAGCTGAACTGCGTCCTTACTGGTTTTCTGACTGCTGCATCTGTCCTTGTAGAATGGTGTTGAGGTCTCCAGCTATGATAGTGTATTTATCTATTTCTTCTTGCAGTTCTGTCAGCTTTTGTTTTATATATTTTGATTCTCTGTTCTTAGATATGTAAATGTTTAGGATTGTTATGTCTCCTTAGAGAATCAGCTCCTTTGTTGTTATGTAATGCCCCTCTTTAATCCCAGTTACTTTCCTTGCTTTGAAGTCTACTCTGTCTGTCTGAAATTAATATAGTTACTCCCGCTGTCTTTTGATTGGTGCTGGTATATCTTTCTCCATTCATTTACTTTTAATCTACATGTGTCTTTTTATGTAAGGTGGGTTTCTTGTAGATAACATAAAATTAGCTCTTGTTTTTTGATCATCTCTGACATCTCTTTCTTCTAATTGGTATCTTTAGAACACTGACATTCAGAGGGATAATTGATTTAGATGAATTAATATCTATTGTATTTGCTACTGTTTTCTATTTGTTGCTCTATTTGTTCCTATTTTTGTCTTCTACTTTTTGTCTTTTATGCTTTTATTGAGCATTTTATATGATTTCATTTTCTCACCTTTCTTAGCATATCAATTGTACTTTTTTTTAAACTTTTTTTTTAGTGGTTGCCCTACAGTTTGCAATATGCGTTTACAACGAATCCAAGCCCACTTTCAAGTAATACTGTATCACTTCTCAGGTAGTTTATCTTATAAAAGCAAAATAATCCTAATTTCTCTCTCCCATCTCCAGTATCATTGTTGTCCTTAATTTCATTTACATATACAATCATACATATTAAATATGCACATTATACGCACACCCCCCCACACACACACACCCACACACACATATATAAGCATACATAATCAAGGAGTGGCCACTTCTAAAGTGTTTACATATATGTAGAACCAGAAACCAGCAGTCCTTTTATTTATTTTGAGTTCTATTTCAGATTTTTCCAGTGGAAATACATATTTGGAGTGAGAAACATTATAACAATAGCATGTTTTTATAAAATAGACTTTTATAAGTTATTTGAAAGAGTTAGCAACTACTATCTAATAATATAAGTTCCTCTAGAGCCCAGTAAAGAGATCTGTGTTTGAAAATAGCAAATTGAACCACCAAAATAAATAATACAGGATTTTGTTTTTCAAAGTGAAAGGGACTTTATAGAATTCTGCAGCTCATTCCTGTGGTCAAGGTCAGATGCCATCAGAGAGCCAGCAGCAGTGTAGTGCTTCGATCATTTGGATTTGCATCCAGATCTGAATCTTTTGACAGTCAGAGCCTCTGACCTTGGCAAGTTAGTCACTCAACCCAGTTTGTTCTTTTTAGAACAGATATGGTAGTGTCTATCCCACAGTGTCATTCTGAGGATCAACTGCTGTAATTTATGTGTAGTCACTTGGTAAATTGTGAAGTACTTGCTCTTATTTTAAGTGGAACCACAACTGGCAGCACGGACTTCGAATGTCTTCTGTTCCTATTAGATGACTTTCTATCACATTTTCTAAGAAATATGTTTAAGCTTCTTGGATCTTCCTTCAGTGCTTTCTATACCTTCCTTTGCAATACAGGTTCTTAAATGTGAAGTAGAATTGATGGCCAGGATGGCAAAAACCATTGACAGCTTCACTCAGAATCAGACAAGGCTGGTCGTCATCATCGATGGATTAGATGCCTGTGAGCAGGACAAAGTCCTTCAGATGCTGGACACTGTATGTTTGCGCCACCTCAAAAGTCGCTGTTGTTATGTTGTGGCACTTGAGAGAATGTGTGACTTCACAAATATCTAAAAATAGAATGGAATTTGTTTTTATTTGAGTAGTTCCTATTCATTTTGTGATTTTTCTTTTGTAAAATCAACCATTCTTTATGCAGAAACATAGAAAGAGTAAATGTTTAGTCACAAAGAGATTTAAATAATTTAGCTTAATGGCACTGTGAGAAAAAAATGAATAGAGCATCTCTTAAGTCTGCAGTGTGGCTCAAGCTTTTCTTTGCAGATAGTTATGGTTAGAATCCAAGATAACACAGGAAGCCCACAGAATTTGTAGCTTTTTTTAAATTAAAGCAAGTACATCAGTGGGGCTCTCTGTAAGGTATGTTATGAGCAATAGTGATTTGACTTTGGGCAGAGACCAGTGTGCCCAGTACCTCATGTGTGTTCGTGAATGTTTCTCATGTGTGTTGATTTATCTCTTTAGCAGACTGTAAATGTCTGAAAGAAGGACAATATAAATTTTCTTTGCAGATTTTATCCATGTTAGATGACAACAAACCTAGACTGAGCTGTCAATAAACTTTGCTTCTGTACAGAATAAGTTTTGATGAACAAGAAATAGTAGTTTAGAAATAGAGTCACCAAAAGATAGCACATATTTTGAAGAGATGCCTTATTCTTTTGGACAATTAAAATGTGTGTCACAGCTGTACATGTCTTCTACCACAGGTCCGAGTTCTGTTTTCAAAAGGCCCTTTCATTGCCATTTTTGCAAGTGATCCACATATTATCATAAAGGCAATTAACCAGAACCTCAATAGTGTGCTTCGGGATTCGAATATAAATGGCCATGACTACATGCGCAACATAGTGCATTTGCCTGTGTTCCTTAATAGTCGTGGACTGAGCAATGCAAGAAAATTTCTCGTAACTTCAGCAACAAATGGGGACGTTCCATGCTCAGATACTACAGGTAAAGCTCAGGCTCCTAAAGTACTTTGAGTTTGAAATAGTTTCGTTGTTTCTTTATGGCGACTCTCTTTTTTACCTTGAAAAATGTTGTTATTTCACATTTCTTTAAATATACAACAGAATTTTGGTGTAAGTGATGCTGTCTTGATAAATTCTTTAAGGGATACAGGAAGATGCTGACAGAAGAGTTTCACAGAACAGCCTTGGGGAGATGACAAAACTTGGTAGCAAGACAGCTCTCAATAGACGGGTAAGATGCCATTGGTTTCAATCTGTATGTTTGTATTGCTATTTATTTGAATACAAATAAAATTAAGATGATGCCACTTAAATAATATTTTGTAAATATTGCATTAAGCTCTTCAAATAAACATTATCATTGAATTCCCTTTCAGCTTCATATGTTTCAGGGAATGTCCGCACCTAGAACCCTCACAACTGTACTTCGTATAGGGGTCCCAGCCTGTTCTCAGCCCAGGTGCTGCTCCTGATCCCTCAGATCTTAAAGCTTGCCAAATGATTTCATCCAGGGTTGAGAACCACTGTATTCATTCCTGGTCAGGTTGAGCTATGCCTGTTGCCACCATAGCAGTAGGGGAGAAAGGTTTGTAGTGTGAGAAAACTCCTGGCTTTGTCTTCCTTCCTGTTGGCCGTCCTTCCCTAAATGCTTGTGGGATGCTCACTCTTTGTTCTCTACCACACAGTGACTTGTGTCCTTCCCAGCCACTGGGGGTTTCTCCTTCAACACACTGGTTTCCCTGACCTCCCCATCTTGTTTGTATGGGACGAGGGCATGTTCTCTTTATATGTCTGTATGCATATGACAGGGAGATAATCACTTGCAGGGCAGTTGTGATAGTGCCACTCACACTCAGTGAAGTTGAGCTACTATTGGCCTTGTGTTTTTTTCTGATTTGCTACCATTAAGTTTGGATGTTTTACTTTTAAAAAAAAAGTCTTCAGTGACATTTTGATTTTATGCCTCTACCCTTTACAGATACAGATGCAAAGTTAATATGATGAATGACAATCGACAGCACTAAATTCAGAGGCATATATAACTTATCATTTTTAATTTCTTGCCTGGCATCCTTGGGTGCCGCATGGTTGCATCCATCCTTCCTGTGCATCAGGACCTTAGACAAGAGCACACCTTGGTTGTACCTGTTCCTCCTCTTATGAGATGGAATTCCTTTAGCCCATCCACCCTGTAGAGTGCCTTTCGTTCATATGGAGATGTGAGGATAGTTAGAGAGGTGGTCCCTTTGACACAGTTTTCACATGCTTTAAAATATCTAAACATCAGGCCAGGTGCAGTGCTCATGCCTGTAATCCTAGCACTTTGGGAGGATGAAGTGAGAGGATCACTTGAGACCAGGAGTTCGATACCAGCCTGGGCAACATAGTCACACCCTCTACATAAAATAGAAATAAAAAATTAGATGGGTGTGGTTGTGCATGCCTGTAGTCCCAACTACTCAGAAGGCTGAGGTGGGAGGATTGCCCAAGCTCAGAACGTCCAGGTGGCAGTGAGCTGTGATTGCCCTACTGTACTCCAGCCTGGGTAGCAGAGAGAGACCCTGTCTAATAATAATAATAATAATAATAACCTAAAAATCAAAATGCTGAATCCTTAAAACCAGACAAGGGCTTATTTGCTTTATTATTTAAGGGTTCCTATAAATAGCCAGACCCCATGGAGTTTGAATATCATTCTCTTTACACAATTCTGCTTACTTATAATCTTAAAGGCATTGAGCTTCCTCTAATTGTACCACTGTAACTTAAAATGCATCTGAAGCTAAACCGTAGCATTTCATGCAGTTGCTGTGAATATGACTTTACAATTGCTTTGTGAAGATTCTACCTCACGGATAATAATTTATTACTGTATGATATTCCTCTTTGACTAAAACTTTGGATTTTTTGTTGCTATAAAAATTTATTAACATCTCAGAAAGCCTTAAGTTCCTAGACTGGACGCATGGGTTCCTTCTCACTGATGATGTGCTGTTTCAGGACACTTACCGAAGAAGGCAGATGCAGAGGACCATCACTCGCCAGATGTCCTTTGATCTTACAAAACTGCTGGTTACCGAGGACTGGTTCAGTGACATCAGTCCCCAGACCATGAGAAGATTACTTAATATTGTTTCTGTGACAGGTGACTCTTGTCTCTTATTGTCTATGATCGATAATAAACTTTAACATTCACAAAACCATTTAATTTCAGAAACAAAGGTAGGTATGTATTGTGTGTATATGTTTACATTGCTGAATACTGGGTTTATTTGTATTAAGTGCACTTAATGAAGTCAGTTTTAGTTTTGACAATGAAAAGTCAAAACTGATATTATCAACCATCAGCTGTATACCATTATTTTAAAACTTTATGATTTAAAAAATCTTTCACTTAATCTGAAGTTTAATTTTTCTTTTGCCGTAAAGATAATTTAATTCTAATTCGTATTACTGAGTATAAATTAGCTTACAATTTACAATGTTGAAACTCAGATGTTATATGCTATTATTGTTTTAATTTTCAAATGATATTTTTGAATAAAAAATATTGACAATAAAATTGAGGATTATTGCCTGTGCCTGAAGTCCCTGCATGGAAGTCTGCTCCCTGCCTTGTGAATTCCTGCTTGCTCATAGCTTCAGGGCAACCACATCAATACTTGTAAGTTAGTTTGTAAAATATATGTCTCTTTGCAAGGTATTGATTGGTACTTTGTAATATTTACTAGTGTTAACTCTATTATGATAGTTATACTAGAATTGTGTTTTATATTGTTGGGGTTCATGCTGTGAACTGTATTCCAAGTGAGGTTGTATCTAATATACTTACAATATTTTTGGTACTTAAATTCCTTTAAGTGAGTTCTCAAGCCTCACTGTATTTATGTTCAACAATGGGAATGTTTTAGTATGTTATCAACATATATATATTCATTTAACAGATGTGTAGTGAGTGTCTACCTTATGCCAGGTAACATTTCTGTCCTTTGTGGAGATAAGCAGTGAACAAGATAAAGTCTCTGCCCTAATAGAGAAGACCAAAAGATATAATGTCACAGAATGATGTGTGTCATGAAAACCACACCGTAAACAGGAGATAGCCCTCCCTCTCACTCGAAAATCACTCCCATCAACACACAGATTGTTTCTCCCTTCCCAAGAAAAGCTGCTCTTGACCGCACCTCTGCCTCTAGCTACTACCCCATTTCTCAGCAAAGCTCCTCAAAAGCCTTGTCTGTCCCTGTGTCTCATATTCATCTCCCTCTGTTTTCTCTAACCTATTCCAATAATCTCTTGCTCTTGGTTCAGTAAAATTGCATTTTCAAGGTCACCAGTGGCTTCTGTGTTATAAAATTCAGTGGTCAGGCCAGCGCACATCTTATTTGACCCCATTAGTGGCGTTTGACAGTGTGTTGATCACTCTTCCTCTTTGAAAAACTTTTCTTCCTTTGGCTTCCAGAATGCCACCCTGACTGGATTTCCTCCTCCTGTGCTGGTGGTGAGTCTTCATCTCCCTTTCCCATTTAGCATTGCAATGCTCTTGAGTGCGTTTCTTGGAGTTCTCCTTTTCTATCTAGACCTGCTACCTGGTGATCGCATTTACTCTGAAAGGCTTAAATGCCATCTATATGCCAGCGACTCTCAAATATGTATTTTCAGCCCTATAGCTCTTCAGTTGCTTGTTTGACATCTAATGGTGTCAACATATATCTGACACATAATGTGTCTACAATTGAACTTTTGATTCTCTGACTCAAACTTCATCCATGTCTTTCCTGTCTATTAATCCAACTCTTCCAGTTCCTTAAGTAAGAAAATCTTGATCTTTCTTTTGTATACCACCACCAATCTACTAGTATATTCTGTAGCACTGTCTTCAGTCTATTTCCAAAATATAAGCACTGTTCACCATTTCTAGCATACCACCCTCATCAGATACATTTTCGTATTCTACCTTTATTAATTATGGAAATAGTCTGACTGGTCTCTACTCCTGTCTTTTTCTCTCTACAGCCTATTCTCCATACGGCAGCCACAGTGATTCTTTTAAAATAGAAGCCAGTCATGTTATGTCTCTGCTCAGAACTCCGTAATGTGTCCTCATTTCACTGAAAATAAAAATCTAAGTCCTTATAGTTTCCTACAAAGCCCTTTATGATCTGCCTTTCTGCATCTCCTTCCCCCTTCTGACCTCATCTCCCACCATTCTCCTCCTCCATCCCTTACTGACTTCTTTGCTGTTGCTTGAAAATGTCAGACATGCTTCCATCAAAAGGCTCCTGCGATTGCTATTTCTTCTGCCTGTACAGATTGTTCTTTGGATATATGCATCATGGGGTTTCTCACTTCCTTTTAATCTTTGCTTAAATGTCAGCTTTTCGACAAGATCTTCCCTCACCATCTTGTATAAAATGACATCTTCTTCGGTATGCCTTGTGTTATCCTTCCCTGCTTTACTCAACATAAAAAAATCACCTCTAATTCACTACATCATTTACTTTTTTGTTTGTTTGTTTCTTTGGTTTTTGTCTGTCTCCTCTCAGTAGAATTTCAAATCCACCTGGCAAAGGTTTTCTATCTGTCTACTTTTCTTTCTTTTTTTTTTTTTTTTGAGACACAGTCTCGCCCTGTCGCCCAGACTGGAGTGCAGTGGCGTGATCTCAGCTCACTGCAACCTCCGCCTCCCAGGTTCAAGCGATTCTCCTGCGCCAGCCTCCCAAGTAGCTGGGATTACAGGCACGTGCCAGCACGCCTGTCTAATTTTTGTATTTTTAGTAGAGACAGGGTTTCTCCTTGTTGGTCAGGCTGGTCTCGAACTCCTGATCCGCCCACCTCGGCCTCCCAAAGTGCTGGGATTACAGGCGTGAGCCACTGCGCCCGGCCTTCTATCTATCTTTCTTATTTCTGTTTTCTCAGCACCCAGAACAATGTCTGGGATGCTGTTGTTGAATGACTAAGAGACCTGAATGAAGTGGGAACTGAGTTTTATATCTGTCTTGAGAAAAGCATCTTAACAAGAGGAAGAGCAAGTGTGGAGGCCCTGGGGTGGAAATCCAGGAACAGCTGGAGGCCAGTGTGGTTGCACTTTGGGGATCAAAAGAGAATGGTGGGAAGTGATGTCAAAGAACTAGCCACTGGCCGGTTGTGCTGGCTCACGCCTCTAATCCCAGCACTTTGGGAGGCTGAGGCAGGTGGATTACTTGAGGTCAGGAGTTCAAGACCAGCCTGGCCAACGTGATGAAACCCCATCTCTACTAAAAATACAAAAATTAGCAGGTGTGGTGGTACACACCTGTAATCCCAGCTACTCAGGAGGCTGAGGAAGGAGAATTGCTTGAACCCAGGAGGCAGAGTTTGCAGTGAGCCGAGACTGCGCCACTGCACTCCAACCTGAGTGACAGAGTGAGACTCCATCTTAAAAAAAACAAAAAGACAAAAACAACTAGCCCCCCTGGGTAGTTCACTTTGAGCCTTACAGGCCACAAATCCATAGAAAGGATTTTGGATTATATTTAGACATTTTCAGACACTCTAAAGAGGACCAAGTTAACATCATTTAATAGTTGATACTGAGATACACATTTTTAAAAATAATGATGTTTACACATTTCAGAATAGAAAGAAAATATCTTCCTAAAGCCACATTTCAAATGTAAGAATTTTTCTAATATTAGTCTTTGACTATACAGTAGACTTTCTAATTGTTAAATGAGAGATATTTGTCTTTTATGTCTCATCAAATGTAGCTCTGCCCATGAAAAATTTCTTTTTCTTTTTTTTTTTTTAAGACGGAGTCTCGCTCTGTCGCCCAGGCTGGAGTGCAGTGGCCGGATCTTGGCTCACTGCAAGCTCCGCCTCCCGGGTTCACACCATTCTCCTGCCTCAGCCTCCCAAGTAGCTGGGACTACAGGCGCCCACCACCTTGCCCGGCTAGTTTTTTGCGTTTTTTAGTAGAGACGGGGTTTCACTGTGTTAGCCAGGATGGTCTCGATCTCCTGACCTTGTGATCCACCCGTCTCGGCCTCCCAAAGTGCTGGGATTACAGGCTTGAGCCACCGCGTCCGGCTGAAAAATTTCTAAGTAAAATTTTCGTTTTATAAAAGCCCCTAATGCCATTAGTTTCATTGCTTAAAAGTGCTGTGTTGAAAAATAATACACAGATTTAAATCTGTGTATTTTAATGAAATTTTGATTTCTTTTTTGGTGATGTTTTCCATTTCGTTGGGTAACATTAGTTGGAAGTGTGTAGGGAAATATATTTTATTGGAAAGGATAGAATTTGAAGGCAAAAGACTTGGGTTTGAGTCCTGGGCATGTTACTTAGCCTCTTGAATCCCCAATTCTCATGTATGCAAAAGTGTATGTTACCGGCTGAACACCATGCAAATAGTTGTTGCTATTAGGAAAGTCATGCAATAGAGAGATTAATACCAGGAAAGAATTCGAGGTTTTAGCAGATAAATATTGGTAAGTATTTAGTTGAGTGGTTTCCTAATTAAAAATTGTGCTTTATCAAATATACTTTATTTCAAACTTGTTTTGTTGGATTGTTTTGGAAGATAAGATTAAAAAATTATCTTAGACATATTCGTTGTTCAGAATTTTCTTTTGATATTGCTTTATTTTTTAGCTAATTATAGGCTAGATATATTCTTAGGATAGAATATTTAATTTTAGTCACTCATTATAGGCTAGATAGATTCTTAGGATAGAATATTTATTTTTATTCACTCATACTTTTTTTTTTTTTTTTGAGATAGTCTCGCTCTGTCCACCAGGCTGGAGTGTGGTGGTGCGATCTTGGCTCACTGTAACCTCCACCTCCCAGGTTCAAGTGATTCTTCTGCGTCAGCCTCTCGAGTAGCTGGGACTACAGCCACCTGCCACCATGCTTGGCTAATTTTTGTATTTTCAGTAGAGGGAAGATTTCACCATATTGGCCAGGCTGTTCTTGAACTCCTGACCTCAAATGATCCTCCCACCTCTGCCTCCGAAAGTGCTGGGATTATAGGTGTGAGCCTCCGCGCCTGGCCTATTCACTCATACTTTTAAAATAGTTTTCCAGTTCTCTCTGTCTACCAGTTCCTTCATGACTTTGCGTGCATGCGTGGTGCATTTGCTCTTCCTTTTGTCTGAATGTCCTCACTCTGCTTCCCTTCCCTGCCAGCCCGTGCCTTCCCACCAGACTAACTTGGGTTCATTCTTCATAGCTTAGTTCTAGTGGTTGGTTATATTCTTTTTTGTGTGTGTGTCTTTTTCTTTTTAGTGGTTATATTCTTAAGGAAACCTTCCCTTAACTGCCGCTTCTGGATTTGGTGCTCTTTTTCTCTTTTCACACAGCACTGTGTGTGTATCTCCAACATAGCCGTATCTCCATCAAATGCTCACATCTTACCTTCCAGGGAAGAGGAATCCAGCCATGAAAATATAAATTCTGTGTATGAGCAGATTTGCTGAGGGAGTGAGGGCCTGGTGATATAGGAAGAATTAGATTGGGGCTTATATAGCTATATATCTATATATCTGTATCTATCTATATATCTATATCTATATGTCTATTAGTAGTAGGAAAAGAAATAACTCATATTGGAACTAAAACAAGTAGGTATCTTAGTCTACATACAAACAAAATTGATAATGATGAAGTAAAATTGACGGTGTTTGAAAATTTAACAACAGTATCAGCAGCTCAGAATTCCTACCAAATCACGGTGAAACATGATGCAATGAAACAAGGCCTCCGTTCTGAAAGTTTGATTGCGACAGTCTACCTGTACAGATGCCTAGTGGTAGAACAGCGAATTAGAGTCCTCAGAAAATCCCAGCAATAGACAAGGTTGTTTTAAAATACATAAATAATAAATATTGGAAACATTACAACTCAGTCGGTAGGTTACTTACATAGATGACCCTTAGTATGTGAAAATGAAAGCGCGTAGGATTGCCCATTCATCCGTAATACAACGAGAAAGGACTGGCATATTTGGATCTGTTTATAGTCCATCAGTAGGATCTCAGCAGATGGCACTTTAGAGGACTGGGGTCCATTGTGGGTAAATGGATGTTCTGCTCAATGATTGTGGGTGGTGGTGAACTGTGTAACACAATACTGAAAGATGTTTGCTTGCATGTATGTGGTCGAAGAAGTATATCTCACCAGTGGCAAATCAAACAACCAAAAATTGCTTTAGAATTGAAATTGTGTTTAAGCCCTAAAAGCTTTACTTAGTGCAGCTCTTCTAAAATGAAGCCGTGGCAGTACTAGATTTGAATTTGTAGTATAAATTAAATGGTAAATTTTAGAAATTTAAAATATTTGAGAATATACTACCTGTTTTACTTAACATACTATTGCACATCTGTTAATTTTAAAATGTTTTTGTATTTTTTTAAAAGGGCGATTACTGAGAGCCAATCAGATTAGTTTCAACTGGGACAGGCTTGCTAGCTGGATCAACCTCACCGAGCAGTGGCCATACCGGACTTCATGGCTCATATTATATTTGGAAGAGACTGAAGGTATTCCAGATCAAATGACATTAAAAACCATCTACGAAAGGTACCTTTTTTTACCTCTTTATATTTTACTTTATTTTAGATTGAGTCATATAAAGCAGACAATACAAAATAATATGTATAAAATATATACTTCTGGATTTAATCATTCTTATTAATTCCATTATAATTTTGGAGTTGTATTAGCACAGGCATATATCCCATCATGTAAAAATCTATGACTTTATTTGTACATGCTTTTTCCTTTTTCAGATATATAAAGTTTATTTAAAAATTTTTTAAATTTTTTAGAAACAGGATCTCTCTCTGTCACCCAGGTTGGAGCACAGTAGCATAATCATAGCTCACTGTAGCCTCAAACTCCTGGACTCAAGTCATCCTCCCATCTCAGCCTCCCAAGTAGCTGGGACTGTAGGTGTGCACCAAGATGCCTGGCTCTTTCTTTTTATTTTTTTCTTTTTATTTTTTTTGAGACGGAGTCTCGCTCTGTCACCCAGGCTGGAGTGCAGTGGCTGCATCTCAGCTCACTGCAAGCTCCGCCTCCTGGGTTTACGCCATCTCCTGCCTCAGCCTCCCGAGTAGCTGGGACTACAGGCGCCTGCCACCTCGCCCGGCTAGTTTTTTGTATTTTTTAGTAGAGACGGGGTTTCACTGTGGTAGCCAGGATGGTCTCGATCTCCTGACCTCGTGATCCGCCCGTCTCGGCCTCCCAAAGTGCTGGGATTACGGGCTTGAGCCACCGCGCCTGGCCTTTCTTTTTATTTTTTGTAGAGGCAGGGACTTGCAGTGTTGCCCAGGCTGGTCTTAAACTCCTGGGCTCAAGCAGTTCTCCTGTCTTGGCCTCCCAAAGTGCTGGGATTACAGGCGTGAACCACTGTGCCCAGCCTTAGTGTATAGTTTATATATTAAAACTTCTGAGATTTCAGATAACTTTTATTTCCTTAGAGTATTGTCAGTATGTGGTTTTCTTATTTTTCTAGTTCCTATTTTTTATGTACACATTTAATGTTTTCTAAGTAAATAACTGGTTTTAGAATTATAGAGGTGGTTGTATTAGTCCACAGATTTGAGCTCTTCTGGGTTTTTCTGGTTAGTTTATGTGAAATTAGTTTAGTGGTTTAAACCTGTGCTGTATCAAGTAGGTGTTCCAGTAGATGCAGTGATATATAATTACCGTCTACCTATTGAGAAGTGGTACTGCATTGCATCTGGTCTTTGAGGTTTTACAAATCATCTTATTGTGAGATGCATGATTCGTTTTTCTCTTGGTTCTGTAGTACAATATTTTATTGTACATACAAGGTTTTATTTTGTGAATAAACGTTTGTATTATAATACAGGTGCTGTATAATTATGAATGCTTGCTAGTAACAGTAATTACTAAGCGGTTAAAACTTAACTTTTAAAAAGATTTAAGTGCTTCATAATAATTCATACCAATATAATTAGGTTTATTTTTTGCATGTTATATTGATACATAAAGCCCTATTTAATATAAACAGGTAATCCCTTGACACTCTCATCTGTCCTTGAGATTGTTGTTGTTATCATTTGTGTGAAATTAAAATATGTCATAAAAAAGAATAAGCCTTCGTTTAGGAACTGTGGACTGATGGCTTAAGAAACAGTAGTGGAAGGAATTTGCAGCTGCCTCAGATTCTTAGACCCTGTCTGAACTGGTATTGTATATAGGAGAAGTATATTACTCCAGGAATGTATTTCTAGATTTCAAGAAATTTGTAAACTTGGGCACAGGAGAACTAGTTGTCTCACATGGGTTCTGACTTAAGGAGGTTGGGTCACTTAGTGTTCCTGACCTCCTTCCTTCCCATCAGGTGCTCTGCTAGGTGCCTTATGTAGCTTTGGAAAGTGTGGAGGTGTTAGACGGGGATAGAATGAGGGATGTGAACTTTGCTTTGCCATTAAACCAACTCATTACTTTAAACTTTGGCATTTTGGCAGGCTTGTTACTGTGACTGGGCTGGATTTGGGGTGATTTTGAGATGCCGTTCTTCTCTTTTTGGTGAAATAAGTACATTTAAGTCTTAAATGCCTGCAACTACTTACAAAGAATATTTTGTAGCTAGTCTAAGGAAGAGAAAAAGTATAGTAAGCAGTCTTTGATAATTCGTAGGAATTGACTTAAAATAATTACATATAATAAGGATTTGGAATGAAAAACTATAGGAAGACACTTTGATCAACATATTGAAAAGCCAGATATTAAAGTATGTGAGAATAATCTAGATGATTATGTTTCTAGTTAACTGTAGTTGAGTTCTTTGATGCTATTGCTTGTCATTTGAAAGAGAAAATTTTATTTACAGTCGACAAAAAGCAGCAGTATGTAATTGATATTCATTTATTGTATTAAAGAAATCTGATTTGGCAAAAACAATCAGAAAATAGTATTTTTAATGCTAGTAGTGAAATTTTTTTTTTAATCCATAAAAAGCCTCATTTATTTTTATAGCAATTTGATGACACATCTGCTGGCTTTATTCAGGTGAAAAAGAAAATGTTGGTTCTTGGTGTTTGGTGAAATTGCGTTGTTAAATTATTTTTTAAATTGTTCAACTTTTAACAAATGACATTTGATACTAACACTGGAAAGCAATTTCAGCGAATTAAATAGACCCCTCTGTAAACCACAGGAACATTAAGATGACACACTGTTCATTCAAGATGGTTTTAATTGGTACAATTATTGTAATTTTCTTGCAATTATGTGTTGAGCTGAAAGCTTTTGTCTGGATCATTTGAGAGTTTTTTTTTTTTTTTTTTAACATACGTTTAGTAAGAAAGGGAGTAAAATAAAAACTAAAAATTTTCTGTCTAGTTTTTATTGCAGCATTTTAGGCAACCATTGAAAGATTTTAGTCTAAAACTTTATTTCTGGCATTTAAAGCAGAATGATAGTGGTTTTTAAAAAAATGAATTTAAGTAGTTTTCATGAAGATAGTGTTTTAAATTTCTGTTTTGACACTGCTCAGTCAATCTTTTACCCAGGATGATATGGTCAGAATAATTTTGCAATAGGGATAACAACATTCTTTATTTTGGTACTTTATTTTGATGTTTAAAGAACAGTTGAATAAGTTCTAAGGGTGCTTCAGAATGGTAGCCATTTTCCATTTCATTGAAATAGCAGTTTGCTGTACAGACACTATGGACATCTAATTTATGACTTTAATAGACCTATCTGTTATTTTTAAATTATTCAAGTAATGGTGTTTCTATACATTATTTAGGGCATTCTCATAATAAAATGTCATATTTTATAAGCCCTCCTGATACTCACCCAAAACTTTAATAAGCTTCATTTTATCACATCTAGTCATCTCATACCTCTTGTAGCTCTCACTAACCTGCTTGCTCTCTCCATCATTTTCCGGGTGATGATCAGCTCTCCTTCCCTCTCTTCCCCGCCATCATTTGGCCTGGATTATGCACAGGCTTGTTTGTTTTGCATGTGGACTTAAGTTATGAATGTGGATAGCATGAAAAATTTAACATTAGTTAGTTTAGAGGAAGTTGTCGCTTCATCTCCTTTGTAGTACAAAGTCCATCCTTTGTACTGATAATTTTTCTGTTTAGTTTTTAAGATACTAGCAATATTTTTTCCAAAAACTGTTTTGGTGTTTTTTATATATAGCTTAAAATCTTAATGAAATTCTTTGTTTTTGATATATTACTTATCTGTAGGTATTGGTGTTGTCGTCATTCAAAATTTATTAAATTACTATCTTTTATATAATTATTGTTTCCATCTTTATTCTCAAAACACACTTGCTTTGACTGCAGAGGTTCAATATTTTATCCATCTCTTTATCTTTTTAAAGAGAAAGCCTGATCTAGTTATTTGCAAAATTACAAGATAATTCCCCATATAGGAGAGGAAACTTAAGCAGGTTTTTACTGAAATAAAGATTGTGTCATCTATAATAGAAATCATATTTTTTCCGGACAGAAATAAATGAGATTTGTATATTTGCCAAGTTCAGTGTGAAGAGTGAGCCTGCAGACCTTGTATAAAGATGCCCATAATCAGATGTAATGTTGACCATTCAGTGTGCATTTCTGGATTGGCATTATTTTTCTCCAAGTCTTTGTGAAAATTGGACAATTCAGATTTCTAAAGATAAAGATGAAGGGCATAATTTTTTAGCTTATTTTGACGTATCTGTAAATCATGCCTACTTTCATTGTTTGGAGAAAACAGTGAAATGCATTAAAGTAGACGTGTTTGGCTTTTTTTTAGTTTACCTATTTGTGTATTTTGCTACTTATTTATTTTGTTGTTGTTACTAGACTTCTAGCAACATCCAAAGATGTGAGAGAAATTAAGGGGAGAAAGCTTAAAATTCATTCATTTATTCAGAAAACACTTACTGGACACCTATTATGGACCAGGCACAGTTCTAAGAGCTTGGGTGTATCCATGAACAAAACCAGCAAAGATCCCTGCCCCGAGGAGCTTGCAGTCTGTCAGAGAGTGATGGGTAATAAACAACATATATAATACATAATTAGCATGTTAAAAGGCAGCAAGTGTGGAGGAAAGGATAAAAGGTAGAAGAGAGTTAAGGAGATGAAGAGTAGTGCAGGTTCTGCATTAAGTAAGGGGATCAGGATTGTCCTCATGCAGAAGGGAAGAGTTGAGGAAGGGTTGAAGGAGGCAAGAGAGTTTTCCAGGCAGGTATCTGAGAAAGCATTTCCAGGCAGAGGGAACAGTTCTGGGCCAGAGAGCACCTGGAATCAGTGTTGAAGGAACAGCAACAAGGGAGCTGATGTGGTGAGATGGGGTGCAGTGAAGCGAGTGAGTAGGAGGTCAGGTCGGGTCACCAGTGGGGTTCATGGACCCCTTTTGGAGGACTGTGGTAAGGACTTTGGCTTTTACCCTGAGTAAGATGGGGATTCATTGCAGGGTCTTGAAAAATTTGTAGCCATTACCCTGATGCCTCAGGGCCTATTTGCTGTGTCAGTGCAGCTTGGCCTGAGTTAGGGAATCCTGTTGATTTTAAGGAGCTTATTTTGAGACTG